ATATTATAGAGGTTGTCTTTCTTCTATTGACTCCGATTCGAAGCAGCAACCAGAACAACAAGAACAAGAATATGCTGGCAGTATGACTTTGAAGTAAATTTTTTTTTTTGGCAAACTTATTTATATTGTCCTTGAAATCTCTTGTTTGCTCCTGTTAGTATAATCAAGAGATATTGATAAATTGATCAAAGTGGTAAAGCTTCACGTCAAATTTAACAGAAAATTATAATTTTGGAATGAAAAACCTTGCCCTAAATATTATTTTAGAAAAATTAGGATTTTTGAGTCTTAAAAAAAAAAAAAAGTTTATACAGAGTCGAGGCCCTAAGCAATCAAATTAGAGCCTACCGACAAAATTTCACTAGAAAATGTTGTTTTGATGCCCAAATATCCTCAAATTGAACGTCTTGACATCAAGATGCATGGACGTGAGAAAAAAAAATGGATTTCAAAGTTTTGGAAATAGCACACCTTGTAATGCATTTTTAGACCTTCAATTTTCAAGATTTTAAAATTTTTATAGATCTGCTCAATCTACACTACTTTTAAAGTTTTACATTTTATAATTAAATATGAAAATATATTTTAAGGCTATCACATAGATTTCTGGTATTGAAACGACACTTCTCGACATTATTTGAAGGTACGCTCCACTTTGATTGTTTAGAGCCTCGGCTCTATACAAACTGCACCCTTATAATATAATGTAAAGTAAAATCTATCAATCCTAGCTAACTATATATTCATTTAAAAATTGAAAGATTTTTTTTAAAATATCAACAATGAGAAATTGCACATATTCAAAATAATAATAAAAACTGCCAAATATAATCACAACAAAAAAATTCATAATAAAATTATAAACTAATATACCTCTTTAATCTCTTCCGATGCCCTATTGTATCCTACGTTAGCCTTCTACTTTACTAATTAACCTCGTCTCAATTTGTCTGTTAAGTTTTTGAATTTGGGAGTACAAGTTATGTGAAGAGAGACACTTAATGAGGTTTTAAAAGAAAAACTAAACACAATAAAGACATGTTATTCTAAAGATTTATCATGCTAAAGGCATGGCTGGTTAGCAATGTGCATAGTAATCCTTTGGACCATACTACACACTTTTTTTCTCACCTTAAACAGCAAGTTGGGAGATTTTCTGTTTAAAATTTTCCAAGTTTTTTATTCACCTTGTGAATTTTTATGCATGTGTGGTTTTTTGTGCATTATTTAAGTCACTGCAAATTTAGTTTAGTTTAATATTTTGTCTTCTTTCATGGGACATTTGGATGAAAGCATGGTCTCCTCCACTATTCACAATTGACCGAATTTGTTGCCTATGTTTATGATGCCACTGGTTCCAAATTACTGGTTTCAAAAAAGAGGAGTGTTTTTGAGTAGTTAAATCCAGCTTAAATTGGTCCTCCGTCCATCGCGACTCCGCTCAGCTGGTTCACACAAGTAATTTGAAGTACAATGCCCAAAAGGCAAGGAAAAAAAAGAAGAAGAATTTGAAGTAGCTACTAAGTGCCAATAAGTGTTAAGGTTAAGGTTATACCTTCTAAATGTAGCACAATGTTGCACCAATCATGAATATGCAAGTTCCAATAGGTAAAGAGTGAGTTAAAGGCTAAGTCGCGAGGCGCTTGAATTTTTTTTCTAATAAGGGTTGAGACCCTTTCACCACTAAACTGCTAAAAAAAATCCAACAATTTAATTAATAAAGAAATTTATGTACGGACACTATTTGGGTCAATTACCAAATGGGCTCACGTTTGCTCAAAATTACAAACAGCACTCCCCACGCGGTGTTTTTTTTTCCGAAGTTACCCCTGCTCGTTAGCGCGTACACCAGATATGTTGGGTTTGTATCTTACATAGCAAAACAATTGTTTGGTGTTCGAAATACCAGACAATTGCCATTCGCTTTTAAGTTTTAAGTTTGTTGTCTGGTGTTTGAAATATTGGACAAAGATTTTTAGTTTTTTAATTTTTTTGTACGGTGTTCGAAATACCGGATAGTTGGTTGCACTTATACCCTAATGGCCAATTTCGCTGTTGTGCTCTCTCTTTTCTGTGTTCTACCAAGCCCAAGCTCAAATCAAGCACTTATCTTACTCTGTCTTTCCTGAAGCCCAGCCTTCTATGTGACATTCAAGCAAGTTTCTCCAACCAGATTAAATATTCATCAAATTTTTATTTATTTATTTTTTTTGGGAAAAGTAAGTTTTGGGAGATTAGGGTTTTGGGGATAAAATAACCTAAAATTTGTAAATGACGGATTAGGTTTTTTAGTTTACTTATAAATGTTTATTTTCTTACTTGGTTGTGATTGAAAATATACATTTTATAAATGTTTTTTTTCTTATTTGGTTGTAATTGAAAATATACATTGTTAATTCTTGTTGAATATTCAATTAATGGGGGGGGGGGGGAGAGGAGGGTTTATCCAATCCGAATAAGGGAACAAGCATTAGCACAGACACAATCGAAGGAGGGTGTTGAAGTTGCTCCTTGGCAAAAAGACGTAATTGGGAGTTTTTATTCAATCTAAAATTTTGGGATTCAAAGTCGCCTCCTATTTTTAACAAGGGAAATTATCTTGTCCACATTATGTAGACGAGTGGAAGAACACGGGGTGACAATGGGTCAGGTTCGGTCCGGGTTCGGCCGGATATAGAGCAGACAATTTAAAATTATTTATGTAATTATATTTAAATATATTTCATATATTGAGAATATTACCAGACCTAGACCCAACGGACCTGGCCTGGACCCGAATGGTGTTTAGGTTCAAGATTTGGACCTGGAGCCGATCCTTCAGGTTCCATTTTTGGACCCATACCCAGATCTAGATCAGGTCTGCCCCCCAGGTTTTGGGTTGGATCTAGGTCCATTGCCACCCCGACAAGCACCCTTCTAATAATTGAGATCTCATATGGCCGCATTGAATGGTCGAAAATTAGTCTTGTATTTTTTTTATTTAAATAAGATACCTGAATTTGGAGTGTTGGTGTATTTTTGTAATGTAACTAAATAAAAATAATTGAAAACTATTGTAAATAAAAAATGACCAAAATACGTCTAAATTTATTTTGATAAGTATTTTTTATTCAAAATATTTTTTATTAATTTTATTCAATCTTATTTATAAAAATTAATCCAAATCCAAAATTTTAGATTAAAATTATTTTTAACAAAAAATAAAAAATGGAAAACGAGATTCATTGTTGGCCCTTGAATTAGCATGGTTCAATCTGAACCATCAAAAGGTAGTTGTGCACCTTTTGAGCATCCACATGCTGCGGGCGTAATACCAACCCTTTTAACAAAATAAATTGGGATACGATTTATATTTAGCTGTCGAAGAAATTAGATGACTATCTTATAGCGATATATTAAGCGAGAAAGATAAACATCACTTATTTTTTCGGATTTAATTTTTTATTTATTTCAAATTGGCACTTTTTAAAATTAATTTTTAACTTTAAACATCATCTCTCTTGTATACGATCATTTTATTTTTGACATGAATCATTATCTTTCCCATACACAAACTTTATCTACTTATCATTGCCTAAATTATCATTGCTTTTATTTGGGCTTTGTGGTGAGAATTTAGAGAAAGAAAAGGAAGCGCTCAGAGTTCTCCCGCCATTAACGACCTCATTGTTATCCAGTCTTGCTTTCCTACCTCTCTTGGTCGAAACCTCTACAACTTGTTAGGGTTTTGGTCATCTACTTTGCTTCTGAAACTCTGTGACTTTTTAGGGTGTCAATTGTCTATTCTTCATCAAAGTCATTGCAACTCGTTAGGATTTTATTTCTCTCAATTTCGTCAAAACCGCTGCAACTTGTCAGGTTTTCAATCTACTGCTTTTTGTCGAGGCCTCGACAAATTGAGAAGGTTTTAATCCTTTGATTTGGGTTGAGAATGCCAAAATCATGCTTAAGGTCACCCGAAAAATCAAATTCCGATGATTCGCTGAAGACAGTGCTTGGAGAAAAAAGGGTTTGGTTGGAGGATGCAGAAGACAAAATGGTGAAGCAACTGAGAAGCTGTTGACGTTTGTGATGACTCTCGCTTGAAACACTTCTCAAGAAAATGAAGGTAATTCTTGCACCTTTTGTATGACCATCTCCACGACTGTACAAGCAAGAGATCATATATCAGAGGACGAGACTTGTTTCCTCCTTTTAAAAATTTCAGGCGTCATCCACCTCAAAGTCGGCTTATGGATATTGCAGAGGCGTCATCCACCTCAAAGTGAGCTTATGGATGTTGCAGAGAAAGAGAAAGAGAGAAAAAAAAGTAGTGGATCAGGGAGAGAAAGAATGAATTGAATTAGAAGGAAGGTTTGGTGCTCATTAGTTTTGTATTGAAGAAGATTACTTACTCCTCTTGTCCAAATAACAACGAGGAAGAGAGGATGAGAGAGGTGAGAGACAAAATTTACAGAGAGAGAGAGAGAAGAGAGATACGGAGTTCTGAGAGAGATAGAGATGGAGACATTTTACAAAATGTTTAAGTTAATAATATATGGACAAAAGGATTTAGGGGGTAAGAAGATAAAAAAGATAGAGACTTTATGCCGTAGGAAATAATTTAAATCATTGGGTCTCTTGAAAAATAGAAACAAAAAATAGGAGGTACAAAGATACTTTTTCTTTTATATAAAATGAAACTCGAAAAAAATTATCAGACTCAAACCTAGACTTGAACTTAAATAGTATTCGGGTCCAAGATTTTAGACCTAGATCGTGTTTACCCCTCAAGTCCCAGGTCCATTGTCTCATTGGAAAACCTGCAAACCCCCTCGACCCTATCTCGCCACGTAAGTTGCAAGCGTCTTCGATTAGCCACAACGCGTCCCCCGACTCACCACCTCCCAACAAAACCACACGTCCACCTGCATGCAAACCCTAATCCCCAGATGTTCCCCTCTACCCACCCTCCTAAACCCTATAAATACTCTCTATTTGGCCTCAGCACACACCAGGACCACCTTTCTCTCTCTCCAGAAAAGAAGGATACCATGGCTTCCAGCTGGATTCTGACCGCCCTTCTCTTCCTCTTCGTCGTTGTTTCTCCATTGCTTGCTCTCTCTAAGAGAGACCCAGAAAGAGAGAGGCAGGAGAGACAGTGCAAGTCCGAGTGTGAGAGGTCTAGAGAGAGAGAGCGTGAGGTGAGGCAGTGCAAACAAGAGTGTGAGGAGAGGTATAGGAGACAAAAAGGGCAGGGCAGGAATATAGAGGAGAGAGAGAGAGAGAGCGAGAGCGAGAGCGAGGGGAGACGGCGGGGAGTGACTGGTAATCCTTATGCCTTTGAGCGAGATAGGTTTGTCAGAGACATTAGCACTGAGCATGGGAGTTTTAGGACTCTTCCTCCCTTCACCGAGAGGTCCGAATTGTTTCGTGGTATCGAGAACAATCGTATCTGCATCATGGAATTGAAGCCTAATGCATTTGTTCTTCCTCACCACAAGGATGCAGATATTATCTACTATGTTGCCAATGGTGGGTGTCTTTATAGTTTTCAAATTGTTCATTTATTTTCTATGAATTTTCACAAGGTTTCTTTGTTAGAGGGCCTTCATCTATATTTCTTTTTTCCCATTTGTTTATTTGATGATTTCATCGTTTAATCACAAATGATCACAATTTTTTTTTGATCGGTCTTTGAAGAACTTGGTTGTTTTTCTTAGATTATAAACCGGCCTAAATTTTAATTGAGTAGGAATATTATCGGCAGATGTATTTGTTTTTCTTATTTTGTTTGAGTTTTGAAAACCATTTACTAATAATATTTTACATACTTATCCGTTTCTTACTTCTCATTAGATTCATTGAACTTATGTGTATTTTATATTTGTCAAGGATACCTTATTCCTTACTTTCTATATTTTTTTTTCTCCCTTAGATACGGTACAACATCATTTATGTTTTGTTAATTTTGGTGATAATCAATAAATAAAATTTCTCACGCCCACTAAAATGTACTAATATTATCATTGAGTACTTTATTATTCTTAGGGGATGCTAGATTGGTTACGATTGGTGAAGAGAGGCAGGATTCACACAATTTGAAGAAAGGAGATACGGCGACAATCCCTGCCGGAAAAACCACTTATATCATTAACAAAGACAGCCAAAGAGAGCTAAAAATTGTCGCACTCCTTCAAACCATCTCAACACCAGGGCAATACGAGGTGAGAGATTTGATCTATAGGGCTAAGCTTTTCAATGAAGTGAAATATAATCTATTGGGCAAAGCTTTTCCATGAAAATTAGAGAGCTAAGCATTTCCATGAAAATTAGAGAGCTAAGCATTTCCATGAAAATTGGAGAGATGCATCCATTCATGTAGTAGCCAGAGGATTTTAGAGAGATCTAAGCAATGATTTCACAAGTAGCTAACTTTGTCATGGTAATGGGGTTTTGCAGATCTTCTTTGGTGCCACAGGTCAGAACCCGCCTTCGTATTTGAGGGCTTTCAGCGATGAGATCCTCGAGGCTTCCTTCAACGTTAGTACTTTTCATACTTTACACTCTCTCTCTCTCTCTCTCTCTCTCGCAGTGATCGCAGTCTTTACGACCACCCATAACCAAAGCTACGTGCCTACGTCCATGCATGTCTATATGCAGTCAAGTCTTTCTCTCTCAGAAACTGGTTAACTTTCTTGCTGTCAACAGGTTGATAGGAGTCGACTGAGCCGCCTGTTGGAGCAAAAGGGTCAGGGTCCGATTGTGCGACCTTCAAGTGAACAACTGCAAGGCTTGATCCATGGAGGTTCAGGTGGTGGTAAGTGGCCTTTCGGTGAATCCGAAGAATCGGAAAGGCCCTTCAATCTCTTTAGCAGGCGCCCTCGGATCTCTAACGACCATGGCGAGCTCTATGAGCTCGACGAGACTGAATACTCACCCCTGAGGGAATTCGACATAGCCATCTCCTTTGCTAATATCTCCCGCGTATGTTTTCAAGATCAAATCTGAACTCTCTCTAACTTCTGTCTCTAAATTCTTGAATGACTGAAATGCTTTTGATTCCGGACAAATGTATCAGGGTTCACTAGAGGTTCCTTTCTACAACAGCCGAGCCACCGAGATCTATGTGATTCTTGAAGGAAGAGCGCGCATCGAGATGGCATGCCCTCATGTCAGCGGTGGCCGCGAGCAAGAGGGCAGCAGGCGGGGACAGGGAGAGCAAGAGGGCAGCAGGCGGGGACAGAGAGAGCAAGAAGGCAGCAGGAGAGAGCAAGAACAAGAAGAGAGAGGGAAGGGGCAAGGGCAGGAAATAAAGTATCATAAGATCCGTAGTGACCTGAACCCTGAAGATCTGTTCGTCGCCCCACCTTCTCACCCCATCGCCATTCGCGCTTCACAAGAGGAGAATTTGCAGATCATTTGTTTCGAAATCAATGCTCGACGCAACCGCAAATACTTCTTAGCAGGTTCCTCTTCTTAATTGCAACTAAACAACAATTAATGTGAATATTTTTGTGAAGAACAGTCTTGTGACTTGGTTTGGTATTAAACAGGAAAGAACAGCATTTTGAACCAAATAGAGAGAGCAGCAAAGGAGGTGTCTTTCAACGTGCCATCGAGGGAGGCGGAGGAGGTGCTACGAGCCCAGTCCGATTCTGTTTTTGTGGTCGGTCCCCGCCAGCAGAGGGAGGGGAGAGAGGGGGAGGGCCGAGCTGTGGCTTAAATCAATAGCGGCGGAGAGAAGAGAGAAGGCGGATTTTGGAGTGTTTGCATCTAGTTTTGCTTAATGTTTATATTAGTCTGATGTTGCAAGGTACATACACGTGTGGTCATGTACATAGTTCCTTTAAAACTACTACTTGCTTAACTATGAGTGTAAATAAGACAGACCGTGATAAATAAAGTCCGCCCACTTTCCCATTTGGCTCTTATATGTCTTGCTTAACTGCTATGCCAATCTTAAATATGGAAAATGCTTTTAACACAAGTAAAGCCTCACCTCATAACTCATTGAAAATTGCTCGTTGTCGTTCCAAAGTGATTGTCGTCTAAACTTAACATTCCAAGTGTTAAATTGCTAGTTGTTGTTCCAAAGTGATTGTCATCTCAACTTGACATTCCAAGTGTTGTTTAGTAGTATATATTGTAACAAATTATCTCCTTTTCATTTTAAAGATGGGTTTTCATATATCTATACTATTTTTCATATATCTATACTATTTTTGAGTTTCAAATAGGTTTTCATAAGTTTAGATCTATACTATTTTTTAGTTTCAAATTTTAGTCGGTATTGAAATCTAGAGCCGTCATGGATATTTTAGATAGCAAAGGTGCTTAAAATAGTGTATATCTTAAAATTCATTTAAGAGTGTTCATAAATTTATCAGATTTATATTATTTTTTAATTTTTAATTTTAATTGATATTGAAAATTAATTTTAGAGTCATGGAGATTTTTAGATTTGAGATGAGCCTTTATTTTGTTTTCATAAGCCCTGCAAATTCGTAGATCAATACCCCTTTCTCTTATCTTTCACAGCGCCAGTATTCAAAACCAGCGGGAATGGAACTCCTCCTCGTATCCGAGCCGAGTAACCTGGCCTAATCAGGCTACTAAAGAAGCTAAGAGAAAAATGGACGCAGGTATTTAAGAAATAATAGTGATTCATATACGGATTTTAAAAGCTTAGGTAAAATGTGAAATATTTTATCTATATACGAAAATTACAAAATAAGGTTGGTCAATTTTAAAATTTTTTAAATTGCCTAGGTCATTTTGAATTTTGTATTTTTTTTAGATTGTGCTTGGGGCATTATTCTACTAACGAAAAAGTACAAAAAATAATTAAAATTTAAAAAAATTTAAAATTCAGGTTGATCGAGAGCTAATTTTTTTAAAAAAATAGGTTAGACCAGCTTTTTTTTTAATTTTTGTATATAAACGTAACATTTTGAATTTTATTTAAATTACTCAATAATACAGAAGATCAAAAACGTCAAAATATATATTTATGGCAAATAGCACTTGCAATCCTCGCCAATGGTAGAAAACATAAAATAACATATTAAAAATAAATTTTTTAAAGAGTGCTTCATATGGTTTAAGAGAACTTCATAATCATCTATTAAAAAAAAAAGAAAAAACGAACGAATAATTACTCTTCGTAATGTTTTCTTAATGGGGTTCTTCATATTCTTTTCATTCTAGAATTAAGCGTTGATTTTTAAATTAATATAAATTTAAAAAACTCATTAATACCAATCGAGAATCACCTTATGGCATCAGTTAGTATTTTTGCTTTTGTAAAAATGTTTTACGTATTTCAAAATAATACTATATTTTGAAAGGTTTTTATATTATGAGTGGATTTTTAGTTCCATATTGAAAAAGGGGGTGGTTTGAGTAGTATTTAAGTCTCATTAGGACAGTGGCTGCAGTAGTATTTAACTGTAATAATTCTTATACTTAATATTCTTAAGCAAAGGTTCTTAAAACAAAGGCAAGAATCATGGTGTATGCGTAGAATGTGTGAAACGTGTGTATGTGCAAGGGCACAAAGGCAAAAATCATGATGTATGCGTAGCATGTGTGAAACGTGTGTATGTGCAAGGGCACAAAGGCAAAGGCAAAGGCGGTGTTTGTAAGAACTGACAGGTGGTGGTGTTTGTTCAAAGAAGTTGGTAATTCCTCGGTAGTCATTCATAGAAGGGAGGGGGTGACTTTCTATGTGACCCTACTCACATAGAAAAATATGTAGCTACTATTTCTCAGCCATCGGATCGGATCGGATCTAAAAGGATGGCTGGAAAAACACCTGTACCAATATCACAAAATTAGATGTAAATTTAGGAACCGGCTCTCGGCTGGGCCGGTAGCCCTTCCCTTTCTCTTACCCAACTCCATAGTATCTTATTGCTCTCTAACCCTTTCGTACCTTGCCCGCAGGAACTCCAACCGCTTCTTTCTCTAGCAATAATGGAAAGAAGCAATAGGAAACCTAGCCCTCTGTCAGTCGCTTGCTTCTCTAGCAATAACCCACAAGGAACCTTAACCCATTGTCGTCAATAGCTTTAATAATGGAAGGAAGAGGAAGTGAGGGGAGCAGTGGTCACAACAATAATGGAAGGAAGAGGAAGTGAGGGCAGTAGTGGTCACAACAGAACGAAGGAAGTGTGTGTGGAGTGAGAGAGAGGGTATCGCTAGTTTTGCAAATTGGCAGTTTCTTATAGAAGAAGAAGTGAGGGGAGCCAGGAGTAAAAGAGCGAGTGGGGATCGCTAGTTTTGCAGATTGTCATTTTCTTAGAAAAGAGAGAGATGGGGGTGAACTGATGCTAGATGTTGCAGGTGGAAAAAGTGCTAGCTTCAATTTGGGTTGTGGTTCGTTTTTGCTTTGTGAATATCAAATTTTGTTCTTGTTTTGTGAATACTTGCTCATGAATTTGGGCTGTTGTTTGTTCGTCAAAACGACGTAATATCAATGTATTTGGTTAATTAATAGTCATCTTAGTTTTTTGGGTAATTGGGGTTTGAACTCATGGCGAGAGAGAGAGTAAGGCGCATGAGATAGGCAGGATGGGTAAGGGAAGGGCAACGGATGAGAGCCAATTCTCAAGTTTGTTTTCAAATATGTGATATTTCGATTGGCGTTATCCCGGTCATTCCTTTAGATTTGACACCTGGAAAATCGCGGTCACATATTTTTCCTATGTGGATGGAGTCACATGGAAACATTCCCTTTTCATGGAAAGTCCCAAAGTGTAATCATTTTAATTCTTTGTATTTTTAGCAAGAGATTTGAATTTCGTTCAACAGATAAAATGAAAAAAATTAGAAAATCTTATTGATTATCTATCTTATAGTTGCAACAACGGAAACCCTTCTATGTATAAATAAATCAATATAGGTTGTGCATTGTCATAAATGGAATGATGAGAAAGAGAAGAACAATATATTTATTCTTGAAAAGGTAAGGATTATATAAGTTGATATTTTTATATTATAAAAACAAGATGCACCTTTAAATTCTGTCATGAATTGTATTTTAGGAGTTGGAAATTTTATGATATCTCAAAAATCTAATTTTATCTCTAGTTATGCAATTTAATATTTAAAAAAATGGTACGAATCAAGTATATGTATAAATGCTTGATTGAAAATAGACAAAATACATTATTATTATGACTAGAAATTTCACTTTTTTGTCTTCGTATCCAGGTATTTTGAGATTGAGATGATCGCTTTACAGATTTTCAAAACAGTGATTTACGTAGGGACCTTAAAACTTTCGATATAATACAAAATGTTCTGCTTATATCAGGTGGAAACTACAAAGAAGCCTGGTCAACTCATATTTTTTTTTATTTTTTTTAAATTACCTCTCGATCAACTCAAATTTAAATTTTTTTTTTATTTTTTTTTTCAGTTTTTTCATTATAAGGGTAGTGCTCCAAGCTTTACAACACTGCCCTACTAACAAAAAAACTATAAAAAAAAAAAAAATCAAAATTCGAGTTGACTGAGAAACAATTTTTAAAAAAAAAAAAAAATTGACCTAGGTTCTATGTAATTTTTGCATATATGTGAAGCATTTTATGTTATACCTAAAATTTTAAGATCCACACGTAAATCACTCTTTTCAAAATATCAAGAAACTCTCTTCCACAAAATTTTGGAATGCACCTTACAATAAATTTCTTCCTTCGGAAAATCATTTTAGTCTTGCGTAAATTTTCCCTAAAAAGTAAAAGTCCGACATCAGGTAAAAAAGGTCATCCGAAAGCCTCTAAAGCCACTCGACCCTATCTCGCCACCTAAGCTGCCAGCGCGTTCGAGTAGCCACAACGCGTCCCCCGACAAAACCACACGTCCACCGGCATGCAAAACCCTAATCGCCAGATGTTCGCCACTAACCATCCTCTTAAACCCTATAAATGCCCCCTTTTAACACGCCCCAGGATTTTTAATTTTTTACTAGAAAAAAAAGAAACCACGGCTTGCAAATCCATTTTCACCGCCCTTCTCCTCCTCTTCCTCCTTGTTTTTCCATTGCTTGCTCTCTCTAACAGAGACCCGCAGAGGGAAGAGAGAAAAAGGAAGGAGAAAGAGTGCAAGTCTCAGTGTGAGAGGTCTAGAGAAGGAAAGCGTGAGGTGAGGCAGTGCAAGCAAAAGTGTGAGGAGAGGTACAGGAGAGACCCACAGAGGGAAGAGAGAAAAAGGCCCGAGAAAGAGTGCAAATCTGAGTGTGTGAGGTTTAGAGAGAGAAAGTGTGAGGTGAAGCAGTGCAAGCAAGAGTGTGAGGGGAGGTACAGGAGAGAGAAAGGGCAGGGCAGGGATATAGGGGATAGAGCGAGAGCGAGAGCGAGCGGAGACTGCCAGGAGCGACTGGTAATCCTTACGCTTTTGAGTCGGAGACATTTGAGACACACAATACCACTCAACATGGGAGTGTTAAGGTTCTTCCTCCCTTCACCGAGAGGTCCGAATTGTTTCGCGGCATCGAGAACAATTGCATCGGCGCCGTGAAATTGAGGCCGAATGCATTTGCTCTCCTTCACCATAAGGATGCAGATGTTATCTACTTTGTTACCAATGGTGGATGTCTTTATAGTTCTCAAATTGCTCATTTATTTTCTCCGAATTTTCACAAGGTTTCTGTCTTTAGAGGGCCTTCATCTATATTTCTTCTTTTTTTTTATTGTTATTTGATGATTTCATCTTTTAATTGTAAATAATCACAACTATGTGGTCATGAACAATTTTTTGAAGAATTTGGGTGTTTTTCTTATAATATAAATAGGCCTTATTTTTTCATCACATTTTTTGAAGAACTTGGTTGTTTTTCTTGGAATATAAATAGGCCTTATTTTTCATTGAAAAAGAATCTTATTGGCCAATGAGTTTATTTTTCTTATTTTGTTTTAGTTTTGAAAGTCATTCACTTATAAAATTTTACATATTTATTCCTTTCTTAGTTATCTCAATAGATTCGTTGAATTTAAAAATTCCATTTATTCGAACTGGGTTTTGTATTTTATAGGGAAAATATCTCCATATTCAGAATTTTTAGGTTTTGATAAAATGTTTCAAAAGACATCTTCTAAGCTTAGAGACTTTTTTAACTTAAACAAACGTGTGAAAGACTTTGGAGGGGGAATCACGAATGAAGCCTCTCTCAAAGAAGAGGGGGATCATGATTGTTGTAGCTGCACAACAGCACAGCATTGGGTAGGTGTTATATCCAAAGCTGGTCACCTCGATAAACTGAGGTATCTTACTCATCAAAGAATAACTGGTGCACGACACAGACGAGCACCGATCAAAGGCTCTTTTGTTGTCTATCCAAGATAAAGAAACTTAGACCAAATGGGAACAATGCCCTTTGTCATGGTACTCAATTGCCAGATGGGCCTGATTCTGATTGACTAGGTCCGTACAAAATCCTCAGCTCCAGAATCACAAACATTCCACATGAGGGTGAGGACCTCGATAAGATCCTTAAAAAAAGTTTCTTCTCCCCTTAAAGTCTCCATGGACGGACCAGCGAATAATGCATCCTTAAAGTCTCCATGGACGGACCTGCGAATAATGCATCCCAACATCTAAAAAGCCTAGTTGAGTTGCACCAATGTGTGAATTTCCTCGCTGTTCATACAGTCCTGTGGTTAGGAAGAAAAAATTAATAAAGCCGTAAGAAATTTTTGAATGAGTTATTTTTAAACCCAATCTTTCTCTCTTTTCACTTATATATTCCAAACTTCTTTCTTTTCTTGCATCTTTTATTCCCTCTCTCTTACTGTATTTCTTCGAACATCTCTCTTTTTCTGATAACCTTTCACATCCAAGAAGCCATCCTCTTTTTAGAAGTTTGGAAGGATGGCTTTTAGAAAAGACATGTTTTTTTAGAATTGTTTGGCTTTAAAAAAATTAATTTAAATTAGCTCAGGTTTAAAAGAAATAAAATCTACAATTTTTATGCGATATATCTTTTAAAGTTTTGGATCTATTGTGAAATAAAACTTAAAAAATTAAAAGACATGGAGATATTTTTTTATTTTATATTTGTTAAGTACATCTTATTTCCCACTTTTTTTATGTATTTTTTCCCATAGATACCCCACGGCACCATTTATGTTTTGTGTTTTGTTAATTTTGGTGACAATCAATAAATAAAATTTCTCCCACCCACTAAAATATACTAATATTATCATTTGGTTACTTTTTTTAATTTTAGGGAATGCAAGAGTGGTTCTGCTTGATGAAGAGAAGCATGATTCATACAATGTGCAACAAGGAGATATTGCGTGGTTGCCTGCTGGCAAAACCGGTTATGTCATCAACACAGACAGCCAAATAGACCTTCACGTTGTCGGACTCATTCAAACCATCTCAACTCCAAGGGAATTCAAGGTGGGTGGGTGAGAGAGAGAGAGAGAGAGAGAGAGAGAGAGATTTGATCTATAGGACTAAGTGTTTCAATGAAGTGAGATTTGATCCATTGGGCTAAGCTTTTCAATGGCGTGAGATTTGATCTATAGGGCTAAGCTTTTCAATGACTATTAGAGAGCTAAGATTTTTCATAAAAATTAGAGAGATCCATCTATTCATGTATTAGCTAGAGGATTTGAGAGAGATCTAAGCAATGATTTCACAAGTGGCTAACTTTGTCATGGTGATGGGCTTTTGCAGATCTTCTTTGATGCCACAGGTCAGAACCCGCCTTCGTATTTGAGGGCTTTCAGCAATGAAATCCTAGAGGGTTCCTTCAACGTTAGTACTTTTCATACTTTACCCAATCTCTCTCTCTCTCTCTCTCTACCACCATCCATATCCAAAGCTACGTGCCTACGTCCATGCATGTATATGCAGTCACTTTCTTTCTCTGCAACTGGGCAGTTTTCTTGCTGTAAACAGGTTGATACGAGTCAACTGAGCCGCCTATTGGAGCAAAAGGGTCAGGGTCCGATTGTGCGACCATCAAGTGAACAGCTGATCCATGGAGGTTCAGGTGGTGGTAAGTGGGCCTTCGGGGAATCCGAAGAATCAGAAAGGCCCATCAATCTCTTTAAACAGGCGCCCTTGGTTCTCTATATAAGGCCTTTTTTAGTCGATATACTTTTTTTTTTTTCTTTTTTTCACATATCCTTGAGGTTGTTCGATGTACACTTTTTCTTCCCCTTTCCATTTAAAAATGATGATTTTACATCTACCTGTTATATTAGCAACCCCATTTGTGCAGCTAATGCGAAGATAGTTCTAATAGTTTCCATTCGTGCAACTGGGGTAAACGTTTCAGTATAGTCAATTCCTGGTTGTTGAGCATAGCCTTTTGCCACCAACCGGGTCTTGTTTTTTTTTAATTGAGCCGTCTTTATTATATTTTGTCTTGTAGACCCATTTTAGTCCTATGACTTCTTTGTTTTCTGTTCTCGGGTCGGTCCATTAGCTCCTATGTTTGATTTTTTTCTCTTACTGCAATTTCTTTGTCCATGGCTTTTGTCCATTTTATTTTCTTATGGCTTCAAATTTTTTTGGCTCTGTGATTCATAAATTTCTCTTAGTGAACGTAGCTTTCCTAGTGATGTTTCTAAGTCTGATAAGTCTTGACTTGGTGCGCCTGGAGAAGGTGTTCTTGGGCTTGATATCGACCTTGGTAGTTGAGAGTTTGCTCTTTCTTGTAGAATATTTTTTTCTCTTATTATTGATATTGGTTCTTGGCCAGATTTTTCTATCCACTTCCATTCACTTTTTTTATCAAATATATTTCTAGAAATTACCGATTTATTTGTTTTGGATTGAAAATGCGATATATAGTTTTGCCTGTCATCAAAATTTTCTATAGGTTAAGAAGTTCTTTCTCCATAGGCAATATAACCAAAAACCTTGAAATAATTTACGTTTGGTTTTTTTTTATACCAGACCTGAAAAGGAGTTTTATTTTAAAGAGATCTAGTAGGAGACTAATTAAGAATATAGAACAGTTTCAGCCCAAAATTTATTGAGAATATGCTTACCTTTTAACATACTTTGGGCTATTTCAATAATTGTCTTATTTTTTCTTTCTATTATTCCATTTTGTTGTGGAGTATATGCTACTGTCAACTCGTATCTAATTCCATTCTTTTTGAAAAAATTCCATAATTTTATTGATATAAATTCTCCTCCTCCATCTGTCTTCAAGGCTTTTAATGAAAAATCACTTTGTTTTTCTACATCAGTTTTAAACCGAGTAAAAACTGAAAATGTTTCTAATTTTTGGGTCAAGAGTTATACCATCATCATCTTGCTGTAATCATCAATAATTAAGAGAATACTTTTTTTATTAAAAGTTTTTGTTTGAGTTAATCCACAAATTTCAATATGAACCAATTCCAATGGAGCTCTTGCTCTCCAAGATGATTTTGAAAATGGTAATCTGTGTAATTTTTCACAAATACACTCTTCACATTTTTTTTTTTTCTTTATTTATTGGTGGTAATCTGATTACCTCACCTTTCTGACCCATCAATCTTAAACTTTGAAAATTTAAATGCCCAAATTTTAGATGCCATAGGTAGAATTTATCAATATTTTCATAACTCGGGGCATAATTTTCATATGTTTGCATGACCATAGGAAATACTTCATTTGGGGTCATTTGGGGTCATTTTTACCTTGGCTATGGTCCGTCTAATTTTCTTATAAAAAATTATACATTCATCTCTATGGAAATTGATTGCATACCCATTTTTATCAATTGTTCAATACTTTAAAGATTTTGTGTCAAGCCAAGAACATAATGAACATCGTGAATAAATTTAGGGCAATCACCTTTAGGTTTTATGGCAATTATTCTCTTTCCTTCAACATTTTGGAGTTTTTTATCTCCTAGATTGACTTGTGAAGTGATTTTTTTATTTATTTCAACGAAACTGCTCTCATTTCCTGTCATATGATAGCTACATCCACTATTTAGGTACCAAACATCTTGTGAATTTTTGTTGTGCATTCATGCATGAATAGCACATATGTCCTGTATTATTATTTTCAAAAAAATTTACTTCATTTTTTTGAATTTGATTTTTCTTTTGAAACTAGCAATCCCTTTGAGTGGTTTGGGATTATGCATTTTTTATATTTATATCGGCAATTCTTTGATTCATTCATGCCCTGATTACAGATAATGCAATAAGATTCATATTTATTTTTTTTATCTGAATTTCTCTGGCTGTTCATATTTCTTCCTCTTCTTCTTTCTTGGTCTTTTGAAAAAATTTGTCTTCCATGAACTCTTTGATAATTTTGATATGCCCCTTTATCTCTTGTTTCTTTAAAAAAAAAATTTCCAGAAATTGTAACCTTTGACTGAAAGGCTTGTTTTATTTATGATTTGAAAATCTATTTATCTTTTTTTCGTGTGCTTTTAAAGTTAAAGATAATTTAGATAAATCTTTTGATTCTTTTATAACAGTCAAAACATTTCTTAAAATTTGTTGAACTATTTTTTCATAAAAAATATCTTCCTCATAACATGTGATCTGATTTATTATCCATGTACCTCTAGTGAATAAATTATGAACTATTCTATCATCTTTTATCATCAAATTATCAAAATCTCTCTATAAATTTTGGAGTTTGATAGAAATTATTTTTTCAGGTCCTTTTAATTCATTTTTGAAATTTTTATATGCTTCTTTTAATTTTGAAGCTATTTTTATTCGAGGAAAAATAGGTTTACTCACCGCTTGTTGGATGAAGAGTAGGGTTTTTGCATCTCTCTTTTTATTTTTCTTGTCCTTGTTCTGCTTTGCCTACAACTATGATTCCAGCGCTGCTACATTTTTTTGGCACTGAATAGTCTTTCTTTCACAATGTCCCACAAATCTTGTGAGATAAAAAACGTTTTCATTTGGAGACTCCATAACTCATAGTCTCTGCATCTAAAATACGAATTAGGTTTTGGGTATAATTCATACTCGAAGTAGGTTTTGGGTATAATTCATACTCGTGGAGGCCACAGGGAATGGGTTTTTTTTAGGAAGCACGGGAACCTGGCTTTGATATCAAATGTTGGGAATTTACGGAAGCATTGATATGGTAATTTAATTGGAAAATAGCAAAGAACGATGATAGATGATAGGGGTGAAGAAGAAGCAATATTTAATCAAGGATATTTTACTATTTCATAAAATAACATACAACAAAATAATGTGGATTGGAGGACCACATTACTTAGGCTTTTTATCCAGGCTTTTTGACACCACCAAAATAAGGTACCTACGCACTATTTATAGGCTTGTGAACTGCCTTTCTATAAGGTTTTAGCGGTTTTTATCAACATTTTAGTTTAAGAAAGAATCTAGAGAGAGGCGGTGATTAGAGATTTTTAGAGATCACGGCTTTACACAGAAGAATCTAGAAAGAGGAGGAGGCGGTTATTAGAGATTTTTAGAGAGATTATCTATTTAACATTCTTTTTTCTACTACTCCATTTTGTTGTGGAGTATGTGTTGTCAACTCTCTTCTAATTCCATTTTTTTTTTGCAAAAATTCCAAAATTTTGTTGATGTGAATTCTAATCTTCTATCTATCCTCAAGGCTTTTAATAGAAAATCATTTTGTTTTTTTACATCAGTTTTAAACTGAGTAAAATTAGGATTGGCAGGTACTTTTGCCAAGAAGGATTTGAGAGAAGTCCCAGTGAACTGTCACTCTTCATAAAAAACAAAGGTATGCATATTTTTTTAATAGTCTGTCTTTATGTTGATGATTTGATTTAAATTGGTACTAACCAAAAGATGATGGAAAAATTTAAGAAAAGTATGAAGGAATTTGAAATGACAGATTTGGGCCTCATGAGATATTTTTTTGGGATTCAAGTAAAACAATCAAAAGTAAAACAATCAAATGGAGAAATTATTATTTTCTAATAAAGATTTATAAAAGGTCTGTTAAAAAAGTTTGGTATGAAGAAATGTAAACCGGTGGCTACTCCCATGGCTCCAAATGAAAAATTGACACAAAATGATGGAGTACAAGAAGCGGATGTGGATTCATCCTCTTATATAAGTCTTGTTGGTTTACTCATTTATCTCACAAACACAATACCAGATATTGTTGATGCAGTTAGTATTGTCTCCATATTCATGAGCAAACCAAGTAAGTTACATTTTGTAGCAACCAAGAGAATATTAAGATATGCTCAAGGAATTAAGAGCTTTGGTCTCAAGTATACTACAGAAAAAGACCAAGAGAATATTAAGATATGTTCAAGGAATTAAGAGCATTGGTCTCAAGCATACTACAGAAAAAAATTACAGTCTGGTTGGCTATACAGATAGTGATTAGGTTGGATCGTTAGATGATCGAAAAAGCACCTTAGAATATGTATTCTACTTGGGATTTAAAGTTATATCATGGTCTTCAAGGAAGCAAAAAACAATTGTTCTATCATTTGCAGAAGCGAAATATATTTTAGCCACTAGCATTACGTACAAAGCAGTTCGGTTGAGAAGAATTCTATATGATTTACATCCTGAGCAAAAAGATCCAACAACGATTTATTGTGATAACATGTCAGCTATTGCTACGATGAAGAATTTAGTATTTCATAGCAGGATAAAGCATATAGAGCTTCGCCACCATTTCATTAAAGACTTGGTTGAGAAATGGAAGATCGAGCTCAAATTTATCAGCACAAATGACCAGTTTGTAAATATTTTTGCAAAGTCGCTTTCAAAAGATAAATTTATGAACTTCAGAGAAGAAATGAGAGTGACAAATTAAAAGAGGATGTTAAATATATAATTTGTCTCTATCACTCTAGAAATCTCTAATCACCGCTTCCCTCTGTCTCTCTAGATTCTTCCGCGGAGGACGGTGATCTCTAGAAATCTCTAATCACTGCCTCTTTTTCTCTCTGATCACCGCCTTTTTCTTTAGATTCTTCCTTAAGCTAAGGCGGTGGTAAAAACCGTTAGAATTTTATAGAAGGGCAGTTCACAAGCCTATAAATTGTGTGTGGGTACTTTATTTTATTGGTGTCAAAAAGTCTGGATATAAAGCCTGGTTAGTGTGGTCTTTAAATCCATCCACATTATGTTATTGTATCCATGTTATTTTATAAAATAGTGAAATGTTTTTGAAAAAATATTGCTTCTTCTTCATCCCTATCATTGTTCTTTGCTATTTTACAATTAAATTACCATATCAAAATTTTCGGAATTCTCAACACTTTTAACCACCACGGCAAACTCCATGAGGCTGACGAAAATGAATACCCGCCTCTCAAGGAATTCGACGTAGCCCCCTCCTTGGCCAATATCACCCGTGTAGGTTTTCAAGATCTCTTACTCTCAAATCTAAACTCTCTCTAAGTTCTCTCTAAATTCTTGAATGACCAAAATGCCTTTGATTCCGAACAAATGTATTAGGGTTCACTGGAGGTCCCTTTCTACAACAGCGGAGCCACCAAGATCCCTGTGGTTCTTGAAGGAAGCGCGTGCATCGAGATGGTATGCCCCCATATACGAGGTGGGGGCGAGCAAGAGCGCAGTAGGCGGGGACAGAGAGCAAGAAGGCAGCCGAGAGAGCAAGAACAAGAAGAGAGAGAGAAGGGGCAAGGGCAGAAAATAAAGTATCATAAGATCCGGAGTCACCTGATGCGTGGAGATCTGTTCATCGCCCCACCTTCTCACCCCATCGCCATTCTCGCTTCACAAGAGGAGAATTTGCAGATCATTTGCTTTGAAATCAATGCTCGACGCAACGGCAAATACTACTTAGCCGGTTCCTCCTCTTAATTGTAACTAAACAACAATTAATGTGAAATCTGTTTTGTGAAGAACAGTCTTGTGACGTTGGTTTGGTATTCAACAGGAAAGAACAGCATTTTGAACCAAATAGAGAGAGCAACAATGGAGGTGTCCTTCATCGTGCCATCGAGGGAGGGGGAGGAGATGCTACGAGCCCAGCCCAAATCTGTTTTTGTGGCCGGCCCCCGCCAACAGCAGGAGGGGAGAGAGGGGGAGGGCCAAGCTGTTGGTTAAATCAAGAGAGAAACTAGAGAGGTAGTAGGAGAGAGAGGTGAGGAAGAGGCGGATTTTGAAGAGTGCTGCATGCAATTTTGCTTGAATGTTTATGCTTGTATAATGTTACTAGGTACATACATATGTATGTGTATGCAAATTTGTACATAATATCATAGGTCTTTTATGTTGGGAAGCAATGCTCTTTTCTTCTATGCGTGAATCAAAGGTAAAACTATATCTCACAATGTAGGTTTGTGCAAATACTGAAGAGGGGCAATTTGCTAAGTGTGAATAAAAATAGAAATTATAAAAAGAAAAGTTCCAGCAAGCAGAATTACGACACAAGATTTAATGTAGAAAAGTTCAAGCAAGCAAAATCATAACACAAGATTTAACATAGAAAAATTACGGGGTAAATCCGATAGAGGATTCCATTAAAATTAAATGAGAGTTACAATGTAGTTTTTTTTCAAGTTTTTGCCTAAAACTTAAGGCTTACAATCAAATGAGAGAACAATAATAACTTGAAGAAGATACAAAGTTATCTCACAAGCACCAACAAGATCATCTTTTTCCCATCTCAAAAAGCCCCAAAAAAATTGGTCTTCCAATGGCTTCGAGATGCAATCGGAAAGCACACCAATTATTTCAGTTTTCAGCCGAGTGTTGAGTATGAGAGATAGCAAAAATGACCTGAGAATGGTGATGAAAACTTTACTACAAACCTGCATTTTCTTCTCTCCAAGAGCCTTCAAAGAACCCTATCTTTGCTTGCAAATAGTGTTTCTAAAAAAAACTCATTTTGTTTTGTTTTTTAAAAGACCCTCTATATTTTCTATCTCTTAAAACCTCTCTTTCTTACCCTTTCTTATTTTGTTGGGTTTTTGTTTCTTTCACATACTGGACCCCATAAGGTAATCACCCCAACATTTTAGTAGGACAACTATTAACCACGAGGGTAAACAAGACGACGGCGATGAATAATTCTCATGTACCTCTTATTATATGTCATGTATTCTACCAAGCTTAAAGATGTCACAAACTCTTTCATTCCTAACATGGAGTTTGAAAGGGAATGCGTATGGATCTAGCAAAAGCCTTTTTCAAGAGAAACTACATTAGACTTTTAAAGTGAATGCGCTTATATCTTAAAAATATTTAGTTTTATTTAATTTTTAATTTTTTAAAGTGAATACACTTATATCTTAAAAATATTTTAATTTTATTTTAATTTTTAATTTTATTGTGATTCGGTGATCAAAACGTGTAAAAGTTTGAATCCAAGGTGTACATGGAAGATAGAATTTTTGAAACGTATTCGAATGAATACAAATATAGACACGCCAAGGCTTCTTCCTAATAAAAAATTTTGGTTCCATGCTATAATACAAGCTACTAGCTTTATGAAGTATATTCCCTGGCTCACTTCAAGCAAGATTAAACTAGGAGACTCTGTTTAAGTCTTAAACAGGGAAATATGCACATAATAGGGAATTGTATACTATGGGATCAGTTTTGAATCCAAACCTTGCTATGTCAAACTTTGATTACGTTAAATCGTGTTAATCAGGACTTGTTTGGATGGCTTTGAATAGTATCTACGTTATACAAATTTCATGTTTGGATTATTTTTTGTATAATTTATTTGCTATTGCAGACAGAGAGATCATTACAAACTTAAAATTTTGAGATAGTTTCTCTCTCTAAAAAAATTGGGATAGTTTCTTTCTAAAAGATTAAAATTTGAGTTAATTATGTACACCTTTTATATAAGTAGGGAAAATGCAGTACGCACTTCTTATATGCGAATATTACATCCAAAGTCGGTCAACGCAATTTTTTTTTTTTACGAAATTATTTCTCGATCAGAGGATGCCATCTTCAAATTATATTTTTATTTTTATTTTTATTTTTTTATTTAGTAGGAATAGTCTGATGTTAAAATTCTTGGACAGATCGTTCTCTTTTTTTAAAAAAACAGCTGTCCATGATTTCCAATCTCATACTAGCTTTTCGAAAAAAATAGTAGTCTTAGGTTAGACACATAAACACACAGATATAAATCTTCAAATCTGCTCTTTCAACACCCATACTCTAGTGTTTATTTGTACTTATTAATAAAAGAAAATTACAAAATACATCTTAAAATAAACTATCTATGTAACTTACCTCCACCCCAAATTTTTCTCACATTTTTTTCCCCCAAACAACTTTTTCTCGCAAAAACCCCCCAAGGTAAAAAGTTCTTACTTTTTGGACGAAAATGCCCTTCCCATACAAACCAAATCAATTCGCAATTTCAAATGGAATAGTGCCGAAGCGGAATGTCAAGAAGCACTGCTGGAATGTGTATTTCAATGCCGGAGCGCATTCTCAGATTGCCAGAGCGGACTGCCGGAACGTGCAGTATCACTGTCGGAGCGCAATTCTCAGTATGCCGGAGCAATGCGGGTCAGACAAAGCACTGCCGGAGCACACATTGTGACTGTTGGAGCACACATTGTGACTGCCGGAGCACGCATTAGGACTACCGGAGTGCAATCCTCCATTGCCGGAGCCGAAGGCCGTGTGAAAAGAAATGAGGGTATTTTAATCTTATTTTATGTTACTTTTGGGTTGGGGGGTTTTTACAAAGAAAGGTTCTTTGGGGGGAAAAAGTGCGAGAAACAATTGGGGTGGAGGTAAGTTGTGTGGATAGTCCATTTTAAGGTGAATTTTGTATTTTTCCCTATTAATAATGCTAAGTTTTGTTCGACGAACGCGTGTTGTGAACCTGTAATGTTCAAACTTGAGATGTATCGAGCTATCTACCAAAACAGAATTAGACAATTCGCATGGAATGCAAAGGAGTAACATTCTCGTGCCGTTAATTTTTTTAAAATGATAACGAGGAGTCCGAAGTTCTCAATTCTCGGATCGCTATTTTTTAAAAAAATAGCGTTCGAGGATGAAGATTTCAAATCGTTATTTTTAAAAAAAAAATAGAGAATGATCGGTCTGAGAATTCTAACTTTGGACCACTAATCCGAAGATGGGGACCTTGGACTGTTTTTTCTTTAAAAAAAAGAATGATGGACCTCAGGATTCTAACCTCGGACTGTCCTTACTACATAAAAACCAAAAAAAAATTAAAATAGGTCCGAGTATGGTATCATCCTCAGGCCGAGGGTTAATTTTGTAATATGGTATCATCCTCTGGCCGACGGTTGATTTTGTCAAAAAAAAAGTCTCATTGACCAACGTTGGATGTAATATTCGCATATAAGGGGAGTAAATTGTATTTTCCTATTTATATAGGAGACATACTTAATTAACTCTAAAATTTAATAGAGTTTCTCATTCCAAAAAATGTTGAGACAATTTCTCACTTTAAAAATCTGAAATTTCATTTAAGTTGACAACAAAATTTTTTGAGATAGTTTCTATCTTTATTTTTTTTTAGAAAAAGATGGAATTAGTCCACTAGTTCATATGAACATATGAGCCCAACGGTTCAGATTGAATCTGGGCCGATTTGACGATTACGGGTGTCCGGTAGTATTTGAATTTTAGTTTTTTTTTTTTTACAAATTCAAATCACTTAAAATTTTAGACGTGTGTTCATAAAAAATAGATGAATATTAGAAAAATATCAAAAAAATATTTTACATGAAACAAATTAACCAAAATACCCCTAAAAAATTTTGGGGGTATTTTGGTTATTTTATTTTTTACGAATAATATTTTTTAATATTTTTATTAGGTGCGCCTTGATGAGAAGAACACACAGCTAATTCCAAATGATTTGGATCTGTGGAAAATAAAATAAAATGTAAGCACTACCGAACATCTGTGATCGTCAGATCGACCTAGATTCAATCTGAACCGTTGGGCTCATATGTTCATATAAGCTAGTGGGCTAGTCCCATCTTATATGTTCATATAAGCTCGTGGGCTAATCCCATCTTTTCTCTATCTAAATTCAATATAATTTCACTCATTAAAGTTTTAAGATACTTGCCCTTTTTTAAATTTAAAATTTGAGATAATTTCTCTAGAAATTTCGATATAGCCTCTCTCTCTAAAACTTTTTAGGTAATTTCTCTCTACAATTTTGGTATAGTTTCACTATCTAAAATGTTCAGATACTCTTTCTAAAACTTGAAATTTGATATAGTTTCTCTCTCTAAAACATTTCAAGTTGTTTCTCTTTCTAAATTTTGATTTAGTTTCTCTCTAAAACTTAAAATTTGATATAGTTTTTCTGTCTAAAAAATTGAGATGGTTTCTCTCTAAAAAAAAATTAGGTAATTTTCCTATCTAAAATTTGATATAGTTTTTCTTTTTAAAATCTTAAGATAATCTCTCCCTTAAGCTTAAAATTTGAGATAATTTCTCTCTTTAAATTTTTTTGAGATCTCTCTAAAAATTAAGGTATTTTCTCTATCTAAAATTTTAAGATTTGAAATTTACGATATTTTCTCTCTCTAATTTTTTTTTAGATAGTCTCTCTCTCTAAAATTTGATATAGTTTCACTCTCTAAAATTTTATGATACTTTCTTCTTAAAACTTGAAATTTGATATAGTTTCTCTTCTTAAAACTTGAAATTTGCTAGAGTTTCTCTCTCTAAAATTCTTGAGATAGTTTTTCTCTTTAAAATTATTTGGGTAGTTTCTCTCTCTAAAATTTGATATAGTTTCTCCCTCTACAAAATTTGAAGATATTTTATCTATGTAAAATTTAAATGTTATTATAATTTTTCTCTTTAAAATTTTTGAGAAGGTTTATCTCTCTAAAAAATTTCAAGTAATTTCTCTTTTTAAAGCATGATATACCTTCTCTCTCTAAACTTTTAAGATACTTTTTCTCTTTAAACTTGAAATTTGATATAGTTTTATCTCTAAAAAAGTTTGAGATAGTTTCTCTCACTAAATATTTCCGGTAGTTTTTCTCTCTAAAATTTGATATAATTTTTCTGTCTAATATTTTAAGATATTTTTTCTCTCTAAAACTTAAAATTTGAGATAGTTTGTCTCTTTAATTTATGGGGATATTTTGGTAGAATTAATTATATTTAATAAACTGGTGTGTGAAAATAGTATTGTCATGAGTTGCATTATGTTTTATTCCCTCATTCATGCTTACACAGCCGGATTTTTTTCATGATTTTGTTTACTCATGTTTTGACCCACTTTCTTGGTTGTACAAAATATAGTTATGTATCCAATAAGAGTTGCCAAATATGTTTTTATACAAGTCACCGTGGGTATATAAAATATAAAATATAGTTTTAGATACGGTAGGATCCAAACAACCCATATAAGATCATTTATATTAGGTACAAGAAAATTATAATCACTCTTAAGTTTTAACTATTGATATGAAATTCGACTAATTAAAACGTATCACAACTTTTAAAAAAATTTGTTTTAGTTTTGTGCCCAATCAATGATACATTTTTAACAACTTGTATCTAATAGATCGTAATGATTATGACATCGTTGTACAAAAAATATATCGTCTTATTATATACCTTTGCTATTGCTAATGATATGTTCCATCTTTTAAAGGATAGAAAATCTCAAAAACAACAAAGAGGATAAAAAAGTGTTTTGCTTTTAAAATTTTTGTAAAACTACAATATAATCGTCTAAGAACTCTAAAAAAAAATTATGAAATTCCTCTCCCAACGAATATTTAAAATGGGGTGCAGTTTGTATAGAGCCGAAGTTCTAAACAATCAAAATAAAAGGCACCTTCAAATAGTATTGAGAAATATGGTTTCAATACCGAAAATCTTTATCATAGTCTTAAAATATATTTTCAACTCTAATTATAAAATTAAATATAAAAAATTAAAAATCTTAAAAATTAATGATAAAACTGCATTATGCATTATTTTCAAAACTTGAACTCTATTTTTTCCTCATGCCAATGCTTCATGATGCCGATGCTTCTTGACGTCGGTATGATATTTGAGCATCAAAACAACGACGTCAAGTGAAATTTTTTAGATTGGCTCTAATTCGATTGTTTCGAGCCCAATTGTTTTGTTTTCTTAATAAAACGACGGGTAGGATTCACTGCCAAAAAAAAAAAACCAATTCTCTCTCTCTCTGGCAAGAGCACACCCCGATTCTCTCTCTATATACCCAAGAGCGCACCCGAACTCCCTCTCTCTCTTACTGACTGGCGGACGAGCACATACGGTGAGCCCTATGGTCTGGACCCTTTCAACCATGTTCAACTGATGGTGTTTTTTCACCTCTTCATCTCATTCCTATGTTTCTTACTCATAATCCTTGTCTATCCTATGTAGTTTCTCACTTCTTTTTTATATTTTTAATCTCATGTTAAGTATTTCTAGATTTAGTTCCACTCTAATTTTGTATCTCCCTTTTTTACCTTATCCGATGAATAAAATGCTGCGATTTCTCCCTTTTATTTGATGAAAATGGGATTTTTCTTCTTTTTTATTAAACATTATCGAAGAACTTTCTCTGCTTTACCTCCCATAAATTTGAAAATTGTTCACATTACTAGAAACCAACTGAATACAGTGTATCATATTCCTCTTTACATGTAAACTCTCGTACTCAGTCATGTGTATTTCGATGGGGTATTAACGGAAACCCAAATGTGTTTGTGTTAATGTCTCTCTCTGGTTTGAGTTTAGAGACTTGGTGTAGTAACGGTGGAACATAGGATAGATTGAGACTTGAGAATGTGGTTTTATAGAGAACCAAAAGTTCAACCACCAATTACTGGTTTTATAGATAGATGTGTCCAATATCATCTATTGAAGGCTGCGTAAATTCTATTGTTCGCCGTCTCCATTTGGTGGGTATAATGAAAAGGTTTCATCGGTAGACATTTTGGAAGGTCATTGTCTACCGCATTTTTTAACACGATAGCTGAGTTGGTTGTTTTCCTTTGCTCGTTCATAATATCTAGTCTGTGCACAAGGTTCTTTTTCATGAGCATGGCTGAGAGTTCATGTTTGATTCATTTAGTTATTAGATGTTGGGAGAAATTAGAGTTCATGTTTGATTCAGGTAGTTATTATTTTACTTTAAATGATTGAGATTTCTTGATTGAAACACAAATGCCTTTCTTATATTGATTGGACTTTGTGGTTCGCTAATCCCTTCTCTAGGACTAATAGCAGCTCTTTTTCCCTTTCAGATGCATGTCTATTTCGATCTAATTTTTCTTCCTTCAGATACACATCTGTTTCTATCTAATATTTCTCCATTATTTTTAACTGTCTGTTTCTATCTAATTTTTCTCCATTATTTTAACTTCATGATAACCTTTGTTCTTGATAGACGAATTTACTGGAGCAAAAAAAATGCAGAAATCTTATGTGGGACGTCACGTAGATGTCATGGTGACATATTTTGCAGCCTTGTTCATTGCAGTGGTGAATTCGTAAGCCTCAGTTTCTATCTCCTCTTTCAGATGGTCCATTCTCATGGTGGTCGGATTTTCTGGTCTCATGTTTAAATCAACGGTAATTAGAAGCCTGAGATATCAACTCACTTCTCGAATTTCAGCAAACCTATTCTCCTTGCCCAGTGATAAGCCCTGCATCACTACTAGTACTTTTCACTACAGATCTTTTGCTTATGCGACTTCCAACACTTTCTCTCATAAAAATGCACCCTCCACTTTGTGCATCTTAAATAAAGCAAATCGTGCTCCAATTCATGAGTATGGGTTAACCGAGATTCATCTTTCCCATCATCTATATGCTACAATGGCAGAACCCATTCTTGTTCAGGCTCAAAACCCATCTCAATTAGCTCTAGAGCTCTCTGATGCTGTTGATGAAAAAAGATTCGATGATGCTTGGAAGGCTTTTGAGCGATACAAACAGATGGAAGGCCTCCCAAGAAAATCAGTGCTAAATAAGCTCATAGCTAGTTTAGCAGAGAGTGGTGATCTGCAATGGGTCAATAAAGCTTACAATTTAGTAGAAATGGCTTTCGGTGAGGGTAAACATGAGCTCTTGCATAAAGAGTCTTTGATATTTCTAGCTTTTATTACTGCAAGGGCTGGACTGCCAGTTCAGGCATCAACCATCTTGAGGAAAATGGTACAAGTAGAGGAATACCCACCTGTTGATATTTGGCTTGGGGTCATAGCCCATATGTCTCGAACAGCTCCTGGTGCTTTTCTTGCTGCTGAGATAGTTCTTGAGCTTGGCCACTTCTTCAAGGACAATAGGGTGGATCCTAGAAAGAAGAGTAATAGTATCCTTCTCTCTATGAAACCCAATACTTTTGCTTTTAATATTTCTTTGATGGGTTCTCTTGTATATGGGTTTACCAGAAAGGCTGAGCAGCTTCTTGAACTGATTCCACGAATTGGGGTGAAGCCAGATGCCTCCTTGCTTATCACAATCGCACACATATATGAAAAGAATGGGAGGAGAGATGAGATTAAGAAGCTCAGAAGGCATATTGATGAGGCCTGTGGCTTGGGTGATTTTCAATACCAGCAATTTTACAACTGTTACCTCTCATGCCTACTGAATTTTGGGGACTTGAGTACTGCAACTGAGTTGGTTTTGGAAATGCTTCGGAGGGCCAAGAAGGCTCAGACCTCCTTAGCCGCTGCCCAATCGGTGGTGGAAGCCATTGCAGCTGAGAAACCCAAACTTCTCCTCCCTAAAGAACATGACGAGAATCGAGTTATCAGTTCGGTTCGTCTATTTGAAGGTCCAGCTTTATCTATCATGGAGTTTATAAAGCACCGGAATTTCTTAAGAATTCAAGCTGAGGCAAAGGAGCTTCTTGACTCTTTCTCAGCTCAGTTGCAAAACCAAGTCGAACTGGTAAGAACCCAAGACAGTATTCTGTATCCAACTGAGAAGTTGTATGCAAAACTTGTGAAGGCCTTTTTGGAAGTAGAAAGGATTACTGATTTGGCTCAGTTTCTTATTGAGGCTGACAAGGAAGAGGGTCCAGTCTCACCTGATAACTCTTTTGTGGTTCAAGTGATAAACACATGTATATCTCTCGGTTTGCTTGACCAAGCCCATGACCTTCTTGATGAGATGAGACTTAGTGGACTAAAAACAGGCTCTTTGATTTACTCGTCACTGCTAAAAGCCTATTGTAAAGCTAACCGACCCAATGATGTTGGCTCACTTCTACGAGAGGCCCAAAAGTGTGGTATCCAATTAGATGCGAGCTGCTATGAAGCTCTAATAGAATCTCGGGTTTTGCAGAGAGATGCAAAAGAGGCCATCAGATTGTACAAAGTGATGAAGGAAGCAAATATTTCACTTTCCACCCATCATGGATTTGAGAGTTTAGTAAAGGGGTGTGAGGGAAATAGGGAGCCAAAGTTCATGGCCAAGTTATTGGAGGAGATCCAAAGCGAACAAGGAGTAGATTGTGGTGTGAACGATTGGAACAATGTGATACATTTCTTTTGCAAGAAAGGGTTGATGCCTGATGCTCAGAAGGCATTTAAAAAGATGGTGGCTTTAGGCCACAAGCCCAATGCCCAGACTTTCCATTCTCTTGTTACTGGTTATTCAGCCATTGGAGGTAAGTATCATGAAATAACAGAACTTTGGGGTGAGATGAAAATGATTTCTAGTTCATCTCCATTGCAATTCGACCAGGAGCTTTTGGATTCTTTGTTGTATAACTTTGTTAGAGGTGGTTTTTTTCATAGGGCCAATGAGGCCATTAATTTGATGGAGAGAGAGGGGATGTTTATTGACAAGTACAAGTATAGGCAGCTGTCGTTAAAGTATCACAAAACTTTGTGTAAGAACAAGAAGGGTTCCAAGTTTCAGACAGAGGCTCAGTACAAGAGGAGGGAAGAAGCTCTGAGCTTTAAGAAATGGGTTGGCTTGGATTGAAAGAAATTCCGCAGGGTTAGACTAAGAAATTTGGTGAGGCAAAGGAAGAATTTGTTGGATCGAGACTGAAAAGCTAGTAAAATGCTTTGAGCTGGTTATATGGTCTAGATCTACCATACAAAATCAACAGTTCCAACCTCGGTACTGAGTATTGGCCTAAATCTGGACCCTCCATTCAAAAGCTCGCCAACTAAGGCTTGGAGAATGTGGTGAATTGCTCATGAGATACTCCTAGCTGATCTCAAATAGTAGGGAAAAGGCTCTGATGATGATGATAATACTCCTCTGAATGATTTTAAAAATCTTCTTTGTGCCATTGCTGACTCCATTTGAATCACCCGACCCACCCTTGTGAAATCTATCTTCATTTGTCCATTCATTCAAATGGATATTAATTCTAAAAAGGTTGAGAGATTTGAACAAGTTGCAGTCGACCTTGTACAAATCAAAGATATAGTAAAAGGAGAGTTTTCCTTTCTTTTGAAAAACCAGTAAGGTAAGTCTGATTTTACAGGGATATCATCTAGTATTGAGTGCACACCTTGAAATTTAAGAAGTCTTTTTCCATTAACAAGTTTACACTGAAATTTAAGAAGACTAGTAGTAGATCACTGCACGTTTTAACACGTGTTTTCTTATAGATGAAAATGACATGGGAGTGTTCTTAAAGATTATTGTTAGAGATTCGTAATCAAATTTTTTTCTTTAGAACTGTTGTATCATGTTAACAATGTTAAACAATTTTAGAAACACTATTGAAGATTATTATGCATATGTATGGATGTCTTATAATGCCAAGTTAACGTTCCCATGTATACATGTTATTAATCCAAGTTGACCATCCAGTCTACATCCGCATATATATTGCACAAAATCTTTAAAAGAACAAAAATCAACACAAAAGTCTTCTCTTTGTACCTCTCTCCATTTTCAATCTCGGTATTTACGTTACACGCATAAATATAATAGGTGTGGGGTTTGTATAAATTACTTTTTTTATACTATAAAAGTAAAAAGCACTTTTAAATTTTGTTTGATGATGTAATTCTGATGTTGTAAACTTTACAATCGGTTGAAAATTTATTTTCATCATTAATTATGAAATTTAAAATTTTCAAAGCAGTATAAACCAAGCTGAAATATAAAATTTAGAAGTCCTAAATATAGACAGTCCACAACTTGAAATTCTCATTACAAGCTGCACCATTTTAGAACTTAAAAATCGTCTTTTCTTCATATCTACACATTTCGAGGTTGAGATCATCAATGGTAAATTTTCCATCATTGGACCACTCTTTTCTTGAAGATTTTTAAGGTGTACCTTAGTTCAGTACTATAATCAGCGTTCTCAAACAAAATCTGTGGGGTGGACCATTCACCTACAAATCCATCCCCAAAGCATATAGCCAAAAAATTTCCCCAAATTCTCTCATTGAAGCTCTAGCTCCCATACACACAGCAAGTACACTCTCTCACCTTTTGCCACAGATGATAACATTATGGCATCATTTCTTCATCTTCATCCCCAAAGCAGGTGAAGTAAACAAAAAATTTTCTTAATAAATTATACTCCTACACGAACCTAGGGAAAAATCATAAGTTACAAAGAAATACCACTAAAAAGCCTCAAAACCAGCGACTGTACACTCGATCTCCTCATCATCAAAAAGGAGACAAATTCACCATCTCCTCATCTCAATGTGTGAGAGAGAGAGAGAGAGAGAGGTTGGGGGGGATCACCACCTCCTCATCTTCATGGTTAAGAGCTTCCTCTTCTTGTGTGCCTGATGCTTGGCTGCAAGTCTTCGCTTGTGCTTGGCATGGCGCATGGGGTCAGTAACAGCCACAAGCTTCTCCTGCTGCTTCCTCTTATCTCTCTTGGCCTTCAAAATCTTCCTCACCTCATTGTACGCTTGCACAAAACTTTCCACACCCAAGGTTTTTCTCATGCTATCCAGTACCTCCTCAGCCAATTGCTTCACTTCATCTGGATGTAAGTCACAGTTTATATACCATGCCAGAACCGTGGGAGAAAAACATTGCACAAAACTCGATAAAATTCCGTGTCATGAATTGTACATGTTCACGGCTATCACACCTAAGCATGAGAGAGAGAGAGAGAGAGAGAGAGAGAGAGAGAGAGAGAGAGGGAGGGAGGGAGAGGGGTGTCAAGAGGTTTGATGGTTCAGCAGTTCAAGTTTTTTGGGTTATCCGATGAATTTCTGGTTCGTAGACAGCGCTGTTGCAGATGAGATTATTACTCGGGCTTCGGGGTACAAAACTACAACAAATTAAAGTTATAAAGTACATTCAATCTTTGTACTCACCACTGATGACTTTGCCAGAGAAACCCTCGCACACCTTATACAATGGAAGCAACATAGGGATTGCGTAATCCCCGAGAGCCTGTCGGTCAATCTGGGTTGAGATTGTTTTGAAGCATCCGAAAACGAGCTTCATCTGCAAAGACCATATAAATCACAGGCTAATTTCCACAAACCAAACCACACAAAGTATGTTTCCTCTGGTAACCAAGACAAATTACAATATCATCATCATCAACATAGCATTTTCCAATTAATTGGGGTCGGCTATACAAATTCTAGTCCACCTTCAGAATAAGTCTTAGCAAAATTATACATTGGCTGCCTACTTAACACAACCCAACCCTTTTACCCAGGCAAAAAATGGGTTAAGTGAAAGTTTAAGGTCATCACCCTTCTTATACCTACAAATTAAAATATAAAACAGAAAAAAGTTTGAGAGTATACCAAAGAGAAATATCAAACGTTTATTTCAGTTACCTGAATATCCTGCATTTGCAGCGCCACCTTCCCAATTCTCTTAAGCAGGGGCACAACCAGTAAAGACTGAAGCTCCTCGGCACACAGTTCACCATCCTTATCCCTAAGCCTGTGAAAAAGGGCTATCCCTTTCTGAGAACCAAGCAACTCCATAGACTCCAAAAGCTGACTACTTTGTGGAAGGTTGCCCCACAACTCCATCAACCCTTCTCCTTTTGGATGTTTAATGTATGAATGCAACTGACTTATAGAGAAAACAATGTTCTGTGCTATAAAGCTATTCGACTCGTCATCTGTGAGTTGAGCCTCAAGTTGTTGACAAAAGGAAACAGCTGACCTGAAAAGCTTAGTTGGCTGCAATAAAAGTTGGGCATTTTCTTGGACTAGCCCTTTCGGGCATGCTTCCATTGATGCAGTAAAGTATGTAGCCATAAGGCGAGTGGATACGCTTCGAAGCCACATATGTGAATGCAAGAGAAATGAAGAGATTGTGTCCCAGATTTCCTGAAATTATCTCATAGAGAATGGAAAAAATGATACCATGAGAGGTGATCAGCAGATAATAAATGGAAATAGGTAATGATTCTAATATCTTCCTGATTCTATGTCCCACTATAGATAACATATAAATAAAGGGATTGTATACAATGAGACCATTTACCTTTGAAACAAGGAGGTCACAACTACTTATAACCATTTGATGTGAAATTTGATAGCTTGGATATGTCATAAAGTTCAAGAAAACTTCTTTTGAAGTTTGAACTTGGTCAATGAAATAAATGCAGCCATCCAATTTCACATCCAATGGTCAAGATTAATTGTGACCACATTGTATCAAAGGTAAATGGTCTCATTGTATACTTTTCCATAAATCAATATGTAATACGATTGATGATAACACATATTTATTCTTGGGTACTTCTAAAATACACAACACTAATGATGAACTTAGAATTTCACTATCATCATCATCATCATCAGAGCCATTTCCTAACTATTTGGGGTCAGCTACACGAATCCTGATATGTCATTCTGCTGAAGGGCCATACCCTCATTGAGGCCATAAGTCCTCCCCTATTTTCTCACTACTTCCAATTATATCCTTTTGGGCCTACCATTTGCCTTTATGAGCTTTCTACTTTAACCAACACGCACCTCCTAACGAGTGTTGTACTGGGTATGCGCCGCACCTGACCAGCTCAAAGTCTATTTCTCTCATCTTATCGCCTATTAGAGCCACACCTAAGTTCTCCCGATTGTATTCATTTCGGGAGCATTACACCTAATGGTGAACTTGGAATTTCCTACTCCAAAACTTCTGACAACAAAATACTATTAAAAATAAAAAAAAAATACATTAGCAATAGCTTGTTTGAAAATTTCAAAATGACATATTTGTAAATTTAAATTGCTTTTAAAATCCAATCATCATTCAAAAAGTCAAAAGAATCTTTTTAAATTTCAAATTGAATTTTGGAGATATTAAAAGACCAAAATACTCTTCCTAAAATACATGAATTATTTCAGGTCAAAGGTCATTTTTTAACATATAAGGGCATTTTGTGGTTAAAAGTTTTGTAGTAGTAAATCTAAAGTTCACCACTAGTCTGGTGCATTCTAGAATAGCCCTTTATTCTTTTTGATAATTATGACATTTAATAACCCTCAAAAGACCGTTCTGAACCAGTTTCAAGTGAGCTCGATCAGAGAGTTTTCCTAGAGTATTTTAAGTTGTTTAGAAAATAAAGTGTACCAGGCATGTTAATATTAAAAGGCTTAACACTTCCAAGGAACTTTCTAGCATTTCAAATAAAATTACACTGGAAACTGTTTGAGAGAATAGCCAATAAATTAGAATCCTTAAGTAGGAAATCCACAAACATAAAGGTTATCTGAGGCATACCTCTAAATCTTTCTGCAATTGCAATTCGGGGAAATGGACAAACAGCTTTTCAAGCATAACAAGTGAATAATACGCCTCTTTGTGAAACAGAATTTCTGTTCCATTTTCACACGTTATTTCTTTGTCAGAATCATGGTCAAGGGCAGAAGTGAGTATCCCCTTTACAACAGGTAATATCTCACTAATAGTTGCATACTTCTCGAATCCTTTCTTCAGAACTTCAACCAGCAATCCCAAGACCTACATAGCAAAAAAACACAAAATAATTTCCAACATCAAATATTATATTGCCAGGAAAAAGAAACAGAACCGTGATAATCTCCTAATTCTATTGAGCCTCAAAAGTTCAGATCCATATTCAAAACATCAGGTAACAATATTTCAGCATTTTCCATAGCTTTTTTTTCCTGATTACTAAAAGCCCCATAAGTGAAAGATATAGAAGGGAAACCCAGAAAATAAAAGAGTATTATAACTTCCACTAATAACGATCACATAAGAATATTTCATGACACTATAAATTGCATCAAATTATCATGATCTAGAAATATTTCAGCAAAACAGAGACATAAGTTTACATATGCATGAGGATGACAAAAATTGAAGAGATACTCTCTCTAAATTTGTACACAGGAGAATATAAAAATCTGCGGCAAAATTATTACAGTGAATGATAATAAGTCAAATCTGCTAAATTCAATTACCCCAAAGAAAATCAAGTACAAAGAAAACAACCAAATTACTAATCCTATGTGCCTTGGTCCTTCCTGTCGAGAGCTGCTTTATCTGCATTCATGTAAATTGACCTTTATAGCTTTAGATAACTAACCTAAATAGAAGTACTCAAATGTGTAAATCAATAAGCAAAAGTTGTGAACTATTTCATTATTGTGACAACCAAGAATTAAAAGTGGAAAGAATAGTTGAAAGCTAAGGATTAGATAAGCCAGCAGGGATTGCAAAGATTGGGCAGTCAGCATGTAGAAGAGTGGAAGCACACAGAAGACCATGTCAACTAAGTAAATCCCTATGTTACATGAACATGGTGTAGGTGTCACATAACACGTGTCTGAGATGTCAGATTGAGCAGCTAAATTTTTAGATTTGGATTGAAACATCTGTAGATATCTTTTTGGGCAACTGCTTTAAATATTGTAAATATACATAAAAATATACGATAAATATAAATACTTTTTTCAATTGGACTTATCGATAAGATAATAGAGATACAATTGAAAGTATGCAACAAGAAACACATATAAAAAAAGGAAAAAACAAAGATCATAATGAAAGCACCAAGAGAGAGTTGTTATATATTATAAAAATATTCTTTGAATTTTGACTTTGTTGAAAAGTTATTAAATTACACCTAATAGTATCCTATCAGAAAAATACCGTCTTTAGAAACACGGAACCAGGAAAAGAAGCAGGTCTGGTCGGCTCGAGGCATCCCGAGTCTGACTGTCAAGACTCAAGACTCTGACAAGAATCATCGGAATTTTAAACGTCCGGAGCGACTCTGTCAAGACTCAATAAGACTATAGAACACACTAGGCAGGACGCGATCAAGACTAGGGTTATCCAAGTTCGGGTCATCTGGAACCTGTAGGCTGCCATTTCCGAGTGTCTCAGGACTTGCCAAGTTTTTAAACACCAGAAATTTTAATAAAATAATACAGCTCCTGATGAAGAAAATGATAGAAAGTTGCCTTTTGTCAACAAGTTTATAGGTAAAAGACAATAGATTGAAGGACAGATTTAATTGGACAGCTTTTTGCTTCTCCTCAGAATATGGAAACAGCTATCCCTTTATAAATAAAATATTCAAAAAAACTAGGCGGCCATCTCTTAATGATGTATAAAATTAACTTCTTATTTCAAGACACATCTTGTCGGCATTTCCATATGGGATAAAATACACAAGTACTGCAACATGTACTACACATTTCAATGAACATCAACACGTGTAGGTGTCGACATGTGAAACTTCCGTCATTTTGAGGTGTCCGTGTAACATAGGTAAATCCAGAACAATGAAGTAGCTTAATTCCAACAGTCACGCACCTGAGCTGCGGGGCCCCACAAACTCTCCTTTTCTCCCATGAACCATGAGAGGGTAGACTTCAAAATATGTTGCAGAACTCGCTGACTAGTACGGCCAATCAGGACTTTTATCACCGTTCCAACCATGGTACGTATTTGCTTGTCAGAGTCATTCACTAAACGAAGGACTAGATGGAAGAAAAACATCTCCGACTGTTTATCGACTATATCCTGCGGGAACTTCATTATGATTGTATGCAGCATTTCAAGGACAGCTTCTCTTCCACTTGCATGCTCATAGCTATAACAAAAGAAACCATAATAAAGATATGAATATAACAGATAACTAGATTTTTGCAAAAATAATAATGAGGAATAGATAAACAAATTGTAGATTTACAGACTAGAAAGATCCTTGCCTCAAATTTGATACCAAAAAATCCAAATGTTGTTGTAAGCGCTTGGAGCCAATAGGATAGTCCATAAAGAATTGCAGCATAACTTGACTGCACTTTTGCTGAATTTCTGGCACTTGACTTGTTACCATCAACTCAGAAACTCGAATCATTAGATCGTAAACCTCTGGGACAACTAATTTCCTTCCAACTATTGCCTTTAAAAGAGAGAGGGCCATCCCAGATGGCTTATTCTCAATATCCACGAAGACTGGAAACTGGATTAGCATGTGCAGTTCAGCACTGGAAAGATGAATATGTGTGTTCCTCAGAAGCACAGTCAGCAATTTTAGCGAAGACTGCATTAACGGGCTATCAATCTTTCCTGATTTTTGAGCTATATCCAAAACTAAAGACGTGAGTCTATCTTCCAGGAAGTTAAGAGAAGGCAAAGGAAGCCTCAACAACAATGAAAGGCATCTCAGAGCAGCGGATAGGACATCTTCAAAATTGGAACTCAAGCAATTCTGTAACAGTTTTATGAATGGGTCCATTACTGATAACAGATGCTGGTCATTCTTATCCAACTTCATTAGCTTCATGCGCTTAAGTAGTATTCCTAGTGCAAATACGGTTAGCAGGTTATAACTTTGGTATTCTTGGCCAAGCAGATTTCCTGAAAGACTTTGATCAAACTCAAGCTCGGAAACCTTTTGCGCTTGCGATTTTCCAGTTGCAAAACCATCTTCGACCAGTCCATAAACAAACACAAAAAGATCTGTCTGGTCGACGAAAGGATTAGCTTCCAGACCTAAAGCTATGTGATGGAGCATGGATTCAAGTCTAATCTTCATCTTTGCATTGAGATGCTTGATTAGATGTGATTTAATGGGGGCCAAAAGCTTTGACACATGGGTTTTGAATGTGATGATTTGGGCAACTAACTTCAATGTATCAAAAGATTTCTTCTTCCTTGTTTCTTTCATTTTATGGGCAATTTTATCAACCTCTTTCTCCTCAGCAACTTCCCCGAGGATATCATTCAGTGCCACTGAAAGAAGCATTTCCAGACAGTTATCCAATCCTCCAACTGGAAGCAATGGAAAAATCTTCGATAATATGAAATTGACTGAATAACCCAAAACATGAAGTTCATATCCTCTTTTTAAGGTTGATTGCAAGATTTTAATGATAAATTGCAAATATTCTGGACCCAGCTCTTTGGCACAAGAAGCCAAAACAGACCTTGCTTCATCTCGCACGCTTTCCAAACGATGTTTAAGGAAATTAGCAATACGCTGAATGATGCTCTGAAGCTGGGATTTCATTACCTCGTCAGGAAGAAACTTGAGTAATTTCAATGCTGCAAGGTTAATGGATGCATTGACCATATCAGAGTTCATAAACTTATTCAGCTCTGGAAGCACAGACAAATGCAGACAATTTTGTATCATGGTTGGAACCCTAGATGAAGAGATTCCTTGCTCGATCATTGCATCGCTTGATTCCCCTTCAATGACAACTTGATTTGAGACATCAGATTCCATACCAATGTTTGCTAAATCTTTATTTGATGAATTTCCATAAAAATGGAACTTGTCAAGAATTGAGCAAATAAGCCGTAGCAGGACCTTCTGTCTCTCTGGTTTTGCTACCATGTTTCTGAAGCATCTCATCAAAAACTTAAAGTATAAATCCCATTGCAAATGACCAGAAACTGAAGCAAGTGTCTCCAGGCAAGCTCTCCGGACGTGTTCGTCTGCACCTTCTTTTATTTCAAACAGCATATGGAAGAAAAGAGGAACAAATATCTTCCACGCAAGCTCCTGTGGGTCATACAGAGATGAATCAGCAAAGCGGTTCAAATGCCAGATCTATTAATTTTTTAATGGGAAAGACAAGAAAAAGACGTTAGACAAAAAGAAAACACACCTCAGAGAAATTCCCAGCACAAATGACGTCTTGGAAACGCAACAAAGCCCTTGCTCTTCTGTGTTTCTGTGTCAAGAATATAGATCAGAAATCAGATTATCTCATTATCATGTAGCGGAAGTGTACCATAATCCTGAGGACTCGACAAAAACCATCATCCATGGGGTTGCAACACCAACTAAAATTGTGGTGAGACCCACTATTGGGATCAAGTCATTTTCTGAATGCTTGATCACTATGTGTTTCAATGGACATTGATGACCCAACAGACTCATTCTTCCATAATCCATCAGACTAATTTCTTTCTTTTTGTCGAGCACAAAAGCAAATAATCATATCGTAGAGAGACAATATATAATAATGTAACAGTAAATACCTGTAAGTGAAGGATATTGTTAAAAAAATCAACCTCTAAATCTTTGCTACACAAAGGCCGAAATGCTTGTAGTGTTGGTATTCCATGGAGGTTCAACACCATTTCACGCAGTAAAGAAACCCATTCCTGCAAGCATTAATCCTTAGTCAATTTGTCTAATCCAATCTTGTGAACTTCAGAATTCACACTAACTGCTACTTTTAAGAATCACAAGGAACTCCCTGACTGCAAACCTTGTGAATGATTTCCTTGTTCATGGCCTCCTTGATATGAAGTAGCAATTTTTTTTTTATTATGTGAGGCATGCGCTCTCGGGTGCAGCTACCTTGAGCTTTTAGTTTTGCCAGAGATCCTGGCACAGATTCCTCACCAACTTGGTCATGCAATAAAGAATCTTTATTTTCTTCGGCTTTATGATCTAAAACTGAAGCAGCAAATTGGACAAAAGAAAGCAGGGACCTTGATGCACTTTGTCTTAGAAGTAGTTCTTCAGAGGACATATCATAGACACAATGTGACAATACCACCACGGCATGAGATTCTTTCACTCCTGGAGACCATTCAATTTTCTCATAGCAACTGATCCTAGTGTCATAATCAAACTCATCTATTTCTGTTGCAGAAACAGCATTCAATCCCTGAAGAAGTTCAGCCTGAAGAAACATTTCCAATAATGACTATATAATGAAGCATGCTTATAAAAGCCAATAAAAAGTAGAAATGAGGTCAGGTTCGCAGTATCATTACCAGAGAGGTAATCGAAGGATCAATTGCAGATAAATCACGAAGAATATTGCAAATCAAAAGCCTTATCTCCAATCCAGCAGAAGAAAGAAGAAGATATGCTGCATTAAGAATTTTGTCTGTCGTTCTGCTACATAAACATGGCAATATCTCTTGGATGATGCGCAAAATTTCGAGACAATCATCTGTGACAGAAAAATACAGTAAGCATAACATTCTGATGATCATGAATTTAAAGGGCAAAACTGACTGGTTCCTAATGGCAATGAAGCTTACCGGATTTCAGTGCTTTCTTTCCTAAAAATGGTATCAAAGTACCAACAAATTGTTCTGCTAACAAAGGATCCTTTACATGCTTTGCTAGAAGTTTAAAAATTCGCAGCTCCATCTTTCCAGGGCCAGTGATTGAACTCCTGCCATGCACAGAAAATAACTCAAGGTGCACATGGGCAAAGTGGATACTACAGAGCTAGACAAATATTGCAGACTCAACAAGCTTTTCTGGCCCAACACTTGACAAGCTTTTCTGGTTCAACATTTATATATTACAGTGAAAGCCATACAATTTATTGAGGGATCATGCCAAACAGAAAACAAATAAGTGAAAAGAAACACAACTGAAGAAATGCTCATGAGAACAAAACTTCAAGAATTGATATTTAACACTAACCTTTGACTCCCCTTATGGTGCTGAATCAACTCACGCAGGTTATAGAAGAGTGTGTTAAGGTGAGGCAATAGGCTCATTTCCAATTCATGATGTCCACTTCCACTATCTTCATCAAACAAAAGCAAGAGGTTCTCAACAAAACTCAGAACAGCAGATATCATAGCGTTTGATGCACTCCTTATAGACAGAACTGAAAAGACACTTGGGACCAGTTTGTCCTCCCTCTGAAAGAGATGAACAAGTTCCGGCGTTTTGCTCATTGCAAGAAAACACGAGAACAATGAACTTGGTTTTTCACTACTAGGGCCTTCCTGTTTAAAACTGTCAACCAACGGTTTCACCGAAACAAAAAAGATGTCCCAGAAATCAGAAGTGAGACCATGAGACCCATACTTGTCAATAACAAAAGAAATAACCTTCAAACATAAAGATCTCAGATCCTTAGATTGCTTTATGCCCACACCCTTTGCCATGTCAGTGTCCAAAATTGGAGCCTCATGGATAACTTCCCTATCCTGCATGTTGGAATCCAATCTAGGAGATGTAACAGTTTCCGATTCCTTTCTAAGTTCAAAATCTTGGACACGATCACTGTCATTTCCAACGATGGAATATTGATCACTCTTTACATAATTCAAGTTTTGTGTGCAACTTTCCATCATATGAACAACATACATCATCAGCATTCCTAGGAAAGGCTTGATATGTAGTTCATCAAAAGTTCTCAAAATATCCTCAACTACATGTACGAAACCAGATATCTTCTTCAATGGCAGATCGCCCATGCACCCTGCGGTGAGATGTCCAATTCTCACCGGTTGAAATTCCCGTAAAGACTTTTCCCATGAACACAATAACTGATGGTCAAACCCTTCACTTTTGGTACAGACATCATGGATTGGCTTCAACAGTGAGAAGAAAAAGAGTGGTAACTCATTAACCTCAAGCTGGGCCAAGAAACAAAGTAACGCCCTACGATGTAGAGCACCTGTAGACTGATAATGCACATTTATGAAGAAAACATTCAATAATACCATGGTAAGAAAGCAAAAACACAGAGACATAGATCAACTTAGTGAAGATTATTTATTTTTGAGTTAAATCCAGTGTTTGAAAACTTGGTGACTCGGGTTCCAACTGCCACTGGGCACCCAGCGGGATGCCAGAGCTCACCTGAGGCTCACCTGTTCATGGACCCTTGTTATTTTTACAAAGACAAAGCCCAAAACTCAGCAACTTGGATCGTTACTCAGACTGGGGACCTTGGTGAGTTCCGACCCGAGTCGAAGTACTAAATCAGAGGTTGAAACTAATAATTCATCACAAATGGTGGATATGTTCCAGTAAAAAATGTACCTTCCGAGACTTCACTATCTTGAGCTTTCGGACCTTCGGAACTAAAATCCGGATAATTAATGGGATTAAATTGTTTCTGTGTTGTTCATGAATATGATCAGATTCTTTAGAAAGACTCCATGTTGTAAGCTCCTCGCGTGTACTCTTAGGATCGATGAGATTTTTCAGATGTAGACCATATGGAAGCAAAAATTCATCTTTCCAATTCAATAAGCAATCAACCACCTTCATCTGTATATCAGGATCATTATCATCAAGAAGCCTGACAAAAGAAACCGACAAGACCAAAGAGTTAAAACTGAGTACATTTCTGTATTCTCATTTTTTTGGGTTAAGTTTAGAGCTAAAACCTATTTGCTTTTAACCAGTGTTTAAAAACTCGGTGACCTGATCCGGAATCGGGCAATCTAGATCAGGAATCAGCCAGCCCGTCCCGGATTCTAGAATAAATCAGGATCCAGCTAATCTAGACAAATCCACCCGGTTCTATCGGTTTTGTCAGCCTAGGCCGCCACGTGGCCAAGTGCCATTGTGTTTTCCGTTGTGTTTTTGGGAACCTAGAGTTAAAAAGTGTACCAACACTACCTTCTATTTTTTGAAAAGAGGGCCCTATATCCACGTCATATAACATCACTGCATTAAAAACTGTTGTGTGAGAGACTTTATATTGCTTTATCCATTTTCAAACCTTCAATGTGGGATTTGTTTCCCGTTTGTTTTTTCGCATTGAGCCAATAAAGCGAACCTAACTCTCTCTCTCCCAGCCCCCCACCCCCATCTAGCGTCTCTCTCCTCCCCCCGCCCAAACCTTGCGTCTCTCTCTACCCGACCTTAACGTGCCTCTCTCTACTAATAACCCCTCTCTCTCCACCAACAGCCCCTCTCTCTCTCTCTATTAACAACCTTTCACTCTCTACATAGTTTCTTCTACTAATAATTCTATTAAAATTATCTCTCTATATTCAGTAGTATAAATAAATCATTCTACTAAAATTCTCTCTCTCTCTCTCTCTCTCTCTCTCTCTAGTAATAAGCTAATTCCATTAAATTTGTTCTATATAACTTATTTAAAAAATAAAATTTCTGAGTTAATACAATAAATAAATTGAGTTAGAGAGATTTATTTTATTGTCATTTGCATTTCAAATTTTATTTTGATTATAAAATCACTTTAATAGACAACAAACACTCACTATGCGATGAGTTCCCAATATTTACATATTTTGAACATAATAATGAAAAACCATAATACAATTGTCACCATTTCTTTTCAGAAACCTAAAAAATTAAATTTTTGAGAAATTATAGTTTTTTTAAAAAAAACTTCTAATATGGAATTGTTTTCTAATATTTTCTATAAGGGAAATTGTTTTTCTAATCTTATAATATAAAAGTGTTTTCTAATATTTTTAAATTATATTGATGTAATATTTTATTGCTACATTATAATTAATAATTATATAGACATCCAAACAGGAAAACAACGTCTCAGTATTCACCTATTTTTACAAGAAAGTACACAATGCTCCACTCCTGGTTTATTTTAGAAACTAAAAGAACACTATTTTTAGAGATTTATAGTGATTTTTAAAAAAAAATTGCGACAAAATTTGCCAATTCCGCCGATTCTCCGATTCGATCCACTGATTCCCCGATCCGACACGGGTATGGGTGTGATCGATTCAAGTCACTGATCGGTTTTTAAAGCTTGCTTTTGACATTCAAAAAATGGATTGCAAAGTCCGCTCAAACCCATTCCATCAAGTTATATCACCTACCATAAGTATTCCAAGAAATAGTAAATGGTAAAACTCTTATCGCTTTCATTTTTACTCCAAGAAATGATACCAGTGTGAAAACAAAAAAGTAAAGAAAACAACCTCACAAAGGGCAGTTACAAACTATAGTAATGCAAACACACCTATTTATCAAAACTTCCTTGAGAATTTTATTGTCAGATAAAGATCCTGGGTTACGTATCAATTTCAACAAGTTCAACCATTCTTTTAGAACCCCCCTCCATTCCTTGCCTCGACAGATATTCCTATTGTAAGCCTCAATGCTGCAAATCAGGTCAAAGAGAAATCCTTAGAAAACAGTTAGGAGAACAATATGCAAACATGCTCACACACACAGCATATTTATAGAGATCGACTTGTATCTCCACAATCGACCTACAAATAAGATATGTGGTAGATGTAGCTACAGGTATGCAATACTATGCATCAAGGCATGCCTATAAGCAAGAGTACTTTGCAATGATTGCATGAGCACAACGTGAAATATGTCAACACATACATTCATGCCTAGAAAGAAATGTGCATAGTATTCACCTCCTGCAAAGGCATATGAATCCGTATGCACAAGATTGTGCCGGCATGAAATATGTTCATCTAGATAAGTATCTTGTACATTTATATTAGCATAAAAAATTGCATGTTTACATGTCAAGCGAAATTCGGATAGCACAGTAAAGAATCAAATTATGGTTTACCTCATGTTGTCCCCAGTTGCATAGCCTAAAAATTTGAAGAACAAAGGTATAATATCTAGAGACCAAGATTCAGGAATCACAGGAACCATCCGGATTGACCGCAGCAATAGGGTCAACACAGTACCAGAGGGCGTACTGCCAGAACCCTGCCTTACAAATAAGTGGAACTGATCATCCAGATCTGAAACAATTAGTCAATGTTTTAGTAATTACTAAAACTCTATATCCACAGAACAATTGATAAACAAATACTTGATGTCAATTCCTTTCTTCAAAAAAATTAATCACTTCATTAATCTACCATTTCATAAACAAAATTTTCCAAGAAATCCAGAGAATTCTATGCCATGTAATATCAAGAAGAGTTTCAGAAGTAACACCAAACCCATTATTCTAGAATGCAAAGGACAAAGAAACAGAAGGCATTGCAACTATTCGAACCAATCCCATTCACAAACTAATAGAAGAATGGAGACTACATTACTAAGCGAGAACAAGGTGAAGCACCCACAAATAAGAAAATCGACATACAAAAGTAGCAACGGAAGATCAAAAGCCTAATTTTGGCGATAAACATGATTTTACCAAATTTGGAATTTCTGATATGCTCCCCGGAGAGATTATATTTCTCCATCCCCCAAATACATAACATCGGAGTGTACAAATGCAAAAGAGAAAAGTTAAGCGGGCTTAGCAGAAAAAATGAAAGAGATCACACAACATAGCAATAAATTGCACAAGTGCTAAAAATACATTAAGTGATAAACCAAAGTTGTGTACCGGTTGACTTGGTGGTGGAAGAATCAACATCATTTTCCTCAGCATCATGGTGCAATGCAAGTAATTCAGATTGGTTGGTCTTGAGATAATGAACAAAGCCATCCCAAACTAGCTTTGTATGCCTCTTTACTAAGACCATAAGACACTCAATTGCAGGATCCCACAAATGGGCAAACTGATTATGAAAAATCCCAATGATACCATGCAATAGAAGGGTTAGGTAAGGCTCAGGCACCCGAGCCGCAGAGATTTCCATTTGTATTTTAGAGATTAGAAGAACCACTTTCCTGCTAGTTGAAACTGAGAGTGATGTTGTCTCAATCAAATGAAGAAGTTGAGTAACCTAAATTAGATAGAAAAAAACATCATCATTTAGAAAATCAATTACTGCAGGAAAAGGGGAAAAATGAAAACTCGAGTTCCCAATGTACAGAGGAAATTTTCAGGGAATAGTTTGACAATAGGAAGTGCATACATTACAATGTTGAGGATCCTCATGGATAGTCTGCCCGCCTTCCGTTTTCCTTTTCTTTTGAGCATGCCCATCAATTGCACATGCTAAACACTCAAGAGGTGCATAGTGGCACAGTATTTGTAAAGTTGAAAGTCTGATCCTCTTGTCACAGTGACCCAAATTACCCGCAAATAAGCGAAGTGCTTCAAGAGTATTCTCAATCCCAGGCACTGCATGAGAAGCTTTCTGGCAAAGATTTGTTTCATCTGCCGATCTATCATAAAGCACCAATAGTTCACCAATAAGTAGTAAGGCAATGATAAAAAACTAACAGTTAAAATGTGAAAAGGAAGAGGAATACGAAAATGAAGTTCAAATCACAGATCAACATACCCAAAAGCAGCATTCAAAAAATCGGCAACAGCAGATAACACATGTGAAGATAATTTGTGGCGTTTAGCAAGACTCAAAAAAGTAGTTGTTTCTTTGTGTATATCAATATTGTTTCTCAAAAGCAATTTCTGGTATGAGAACAATGCGGCACCCAGTATACTTTGCCATGTGATCCATGTATTGCCTGAAATGCTATCTAAGCAAGAAAGTGGTATAAAATTCAAAATGAACCAATATTTTTCTTTTTGAACTTGTAATCCAAGTTAACAGAATTAGCAAAACTCCAACTTAAAAAAATAAAACTGAAAAAAATATTACCATATTCAAGAATTAGAAGTTGATCGATTGCATCTATAAGCTCCTTCAATAAAGAGAGCTTTGCTTCAGAGGAAAAGACATGGTGATAGCAGCTCAGGACTCCCCAAAGAATAGCCAAGTCAGACTCGTGAGTTTTCTTACTTAACTGAGAACAGCTGCTAGATTTAAAATTGTTTATCACATGAACATGAGATTTGATAGTCCTCTGGAAGAATAAATGAATATTTGACATGTTGTCCCCTTTTTTCCCTTCAAAAATGTTAAAAAAGTGCAGTTTTCCTTGAGATTTCTCAGAGAATGTCAACATCAAATGTAAGACTTCTCCTGGTGAGTCTTCAATCAACTCATTCATGCCCCTAATTAGGTAAATAACAATGCACTGTCAGAACCCATAATAAAGACAAATATCTATGCTAAAGGCCAATAGACAAGATAATGGCAAGAGCCATGCCAGAAAATACCTCATTATATGATTTCTAAGGGCAACGAGAATAGATGCATCCTTTAGAATTATTTCTCTGAGAAAGGACAGCAAGCTGAAAAAATAAAATATGGAAAGATGTTAAAACAAATGCAAATATAACCAATTGAACAACCAGAGAATCCCCAAAATCGCTCATTTTATTGGGAGAGCTATTCCTACCATGAACTTCTAATCTGAAACAAGCACGCCAACTGCTCTGAGATTTGTAAGATGGTCTGTGGATCGTGGATAACACATGGAACATCAAGGAGACTGAGCATCAAATGCAAAACATTGTTGACAGCTTCATTTTTACAATCACGTTCAGGAAGAGTGACAGTGAGTAGTCTTGTAAGATTAAGTAGTGGATCATAGTCTTCACATACGATCAGAAACACATGGTTACTCGTCATTCAAAATATAAGACAACAATTTAAACTAAATGAGTAGGAAAAACACAATGCATGAACACTGAAAATGAGAACTATAAAATAAATAGATCATAAGCTTCTGCTATACATCTTTGGCTCACCAGGGAATTTAGTCTCATTTTTCAACCGAACTGTGAATGTAATAAGGCACAACAAATAATTGAGGTGTGACAAGCACTCCTCAATATCATGCCCAACTGCTTGGGCCGAATCAGAAGAAAACAAGTTCACATTGTCCTCTAACAGTCCATTTTCCATGTTTACACTCTTTTCAGTGCCCAAATCAGCCAACACCACATTAATATTATTGATGCAGTTGGATAATTCCTCAAGTAAGCAGTTCCATAATAGGTCCAATTCTTTAGCCTCAAGCTCCTCGTGTAACCTCTGAAAAGCTTGTGTGACAACCTCAAGAAGAATGCCTGATCCTGTAGCATAAAAACAGAATTCAAAACTCCATGAAATGGCAAATACAAAGTCACCTTGATAAATTTCATGCTAGTACAACGACAAAATATCCACAGGAGATAACCTTCAAGTCATCAAAAAAATAGTGAGCAGCAAATGCAAACAAATAACTATTCAGGGGCACGTGGAAAAGGTCATATAGTTTCAGTTCAATAGTTCCAATGGCCAATACTTTCAAGGTGTAGCTCCTAAGAGTGTTTGCATCAACTTGAAAGGCCTAAAGCTGGGAAAACAAAAGCAAATCTTAATTGACTATACAACATGAGTTCCTACCAACATCAGTAGAATAGGAGAAGGTTACTGTATATAAGCATCTGACCAGAACTAAATAATCCAAAAGGACAATGTGGAAGATAAAGAAAATGGCCATGTACCATACAATTCATATGTTCAACTATTGCACAATATGAAACAAATGCTAGCTTACACCTGGAAATGTGCCGCCATCAGGCATAGTTTCCTAAGGAAAGGGTTGGAGGACTCTATTTCTCATATAATGAATATTTTCCTCGTTCTTGACAATGAAAAAATTTCTTTTTTTAAGGACTACTAATTTTTTTACTGAAAAGAAAGAGAAACTTACAAACTAACAAATAATGTTTTTGAATCCTTGGTATAGTTCTCAGACAAGTATAAACAAAAGAAAAAGAAAATGGCAGAAAAACAACCAGAAATCAATCTTAATTCAAAAAATCTTGTAATGGATTTTGTAGATTAATGTGATAAGAACAATTTGGGACAAATTTGAATTAATTTGGTGAAACAATAAGAGAGAAATTGAAATTTTGGATTTCGGGTTCAAAAACTCCCAAATTTTGGAGTCTAGATTTCTTCTATTTTACTTTTCGATCCAAAAAATTGATCAAAAGGAGTTCGTCAGATAGCTCACTAGGAACATTTTGAATCAAATTGCAGATAATTTGGTTGAGAAATGACAGAGATTGCAAGAAAGACAGATTGGATTTTGAGGCTCAAAAAACGGTGAGATTTTGATAAAAAATCTCGCCTACATGCAACTTTTGATCAATAAAAATGATTTTTAGGGGCTAAGAGGGATCTGTTTGTGTCAAAAGCGAGATCAATATGGGGTTCAAATCATGGCAGATAGATTTTTATTTGAAAAAAATGCTGAACAAGCCATCTTTTACCCTTTTTAACATGAAAAAGGGGTTGTGGGCGACCTGCCCGAGATTGCGTGAGAACCGGCCCAGCAACCCGCCAGTCCCGAGCTTTGGCCAATTCCAAGTTGGCTCGGAGATCTTTTGAACCTTGCTAGTGACTTTACAAAGGTTGTTGCAATTATTTAGGTGTGACACCAATAGGCAATAAAATGAGAGAGAGCAGACTTAGGTGGGCTGGCTATGTGTGGTGCCAACCCGGTACAACACCTGTTAGGAGGTGCGAGTTAGTTTAAGTGGAAGGATTGAAAAGGACAATGAACAGGCCCAAAAGGATTGAAAGGGACTTTTGGCCTCACTGAGGGTATGGCCTTTAATAGAGCAAAATGACGGCCCAGGATTCATGTAGCCAACCCCAATTAATTGGGAAAAAGCTATGATGATGATGATCATGAATTTATAGTACTTTAGTTGCAGTGAACAGAAAATTCAGAAATCTTGACAAAGGGTTTATTAGTTGCCGTGTTCAAAGACTTCACCAAATTACTCGGCCTCGGCTAGTTGCCGAGGCATGGTGAGTATTGTATACACTCTCGGGCAGAGAACTTTTACAGCTGCCAAATTCAAGTCTTTAGATCAATAAATGATGAAATAAATTATTGATTGGGCTATATTAAGTCCTGTTACTAACCAATTTGATAAAACTTTAAATCGATTTGATCAAATACTTGGAATTTATCAATTTTTCCCCTTTTTTGGTCAAAAGATCGGGTTTTTTTTTTATTTAAATCCAATCTGCGAAGTCATTGATTTATCCCTCATTTTTAACCAAATTCATTAAAATTTGGTTCTATTTGAAGTTGATTCAATTGTTCACAAAATCCACATAGTAATTGGTGGGTGGGATCAAAGCCTTGATTTTGGGAGATCTGACCTGATGTTTCTTCATTTTCGGAGGGGGGGACAGTTTTTTTAAACCCTAGCTGATTTGCCAAGCCATCGATTTCTCCCTCATTCTGTAACCAAATTCATTGAAATATGGTTCTATTCAAAGCTGATACTATCCTCTACAAACATGGTAACGTGGGATCAAAGCCATGATTTTGAGAGATCAGGCTGAACATTACTTGGTTTTGTGAAGATAGCCAGAACTTTACACATTTCTATCTCCCACTCTCTTCCCAAATGTTCTCTCTCTCCCCCGAGCTATCTCCCCTTAGCTATATCCCCTGAGCTATCTCCCCCGAGCTACCACTCCCACTCAGACTCAGGGCAGGGGCCGAGCTGAGTTATAAAACTCTGGTTATTTATGTTCGCCAACTAATTAGGACAAGGCTTGGTGGATGATGGTTATTTATATTTGCCAGGCTAACCATTTTGATAAATACAAGTATCCAAGTTGCACGAAAAAATATATACTGCACGCAAAAATGATTTGACATCAGCAGGCTTCACTACAGGTTTCAATTTGTAGGTAGGTTCCCCCACCATAAATCAAAACAAAAACAAGAGCAAATCAGCAAATATATACATATATATATATATATATATTCTGAGCATAAGAGCCTGCAAGCAAGAAACACATTTCTACTTAAAATCAATGATATACATTCCTAAAGTAAATACTTCACAAAGCAATCAACTTGTAAGTGTTGTTTCTTGAAATAACCGTGATGGTTAGGTGGGTTTTAACTATTCCCATCTTTTGAGTATGACGTAACAGCACTTTCATTTCAGTACATAAGGAATGAAAGATGTAGTAGTGCCAACAACAGTAGTGCCAACAACAAAAAGGACAAACACTAAAACACCAAGTATATCCAATTAAAGGAACCACCAAAGCTTCAACTCAGTACGTACACACATATTTGGGACTGCAATAATGCAAATGCTAAAGCAGAAATAAACAATTCAAAAAATGATCCACATTCATGTGCAAAACATTACACAAATCTTAACAAATAACAGGGATGGAAGAAGAGATTGCCTTGGCTCCTTTTGTAAGCAAAGTGATGAATGGAATCACCGACTAATAAGTGAATGACTTTTTTGGCTCTTGAATGAAGCCTGGATGATGGCCCTTTCAAAATATGCAATAATAGTGCACTGACAGCAATTTTTCTCTCTGAGGATGTACTTCTTGTAACTTCGGATACAAGAATTCTTATACCTAAAACATACATAGAATTCAATCGCACAGTTAGTAGTTAACCATTAGTAGTTACTCAGTGGAATAACCAGGTCATTTACAAACTGATCAAACACAGCTAGAGAAAATTGGCAGGGATGTTTCAGAATATGGAAGATAAACAGACATGCTTGTCAGACAGGGTAGTACATTTACAAGCACAAATATGTATGTTGATGCAATTAGAAATACAAATGAAACACAACGAAGTGAGAACTGCAAAGAATTATAACTATTCCTTCTACTGTACCGCATACAGTATCAATTGACAAGACTGCACAATTTACTGCAAAAGGTTGTATCTATTGACAAGACTGCACAATTTACTGCAAAAGCTGAAATAGCGAACCTAGGAGGCATGTATGAACTCTGCATAGCATGTAAATAAAAATGTATTTTATGCAGGAAATTGCACAAAAAGTACTTGAATATAACAATGACACAACAGGATAATATGACAATGACATGCAAACATTTAACCAGGATTTGATGCAACCCCACTCTCAAATCTAAAACCTTGAAGCAACCCCACTCTCAAATCTAAAACCTTGAAGCATTTCAAGAGAAGCAGCCAAACAACATTACAAAATGGTGAGTTAAGCATCTCAAACCATCCCTGAACATTTTAATGACACTTCCAAATTTGTAGGACTTTTATTTATCATTAGAATATATGGCTAAAACTAAGCACAATAAAACATTTTGAAACAAAAAAATATATATGGCCCAGTTCTTCATTTCACTTACAAATGAATACACAGATAAAAAGAGAGCAGCGCCTAACCTTTTATGACTTGCTTGATGGGTGCATTCCTCAATAGGAACGACACAACCTCCGCCATGAATTCCTGGACATAATCCTTTGGATAGTATCTCAAGAGCACTGTCATCCTTAAAGATACAAGAAAACTTTAGTGATTGAATTTAAAAAATAAATCTATAAAACAACACGACATTATTGTCACTCCCAATCAACATTAAAAACAGACACAGAAACAATCCAGCAAGTCAAAACTGACATCAATCATTCAACCCAGTGCAATTGTCCAGTTTCTGGTCACACCAGCTAGTTAAACCACTACTAATCCAGAAAATTAAATTGGTGGAGCAGTTTTCCTATCGGCCCTCCCCAAGCTCCTCCACATAGCCTTCCAACAAAGTGACACAGCAAATTACAAGCAGGTCTGAGAAATATACAGATATAGGGACTAAAATAGAGCACATGTAGCAGCCTATCCAAAAAGGAATAAAGTCGTCACACTCATAAACAGAATAATATGTTGTAAAGCTACATATACAAGTAAAACTGCAATCCATATGGTAAACAGCACATATTTGAGAAGTAAATGATAGAGAAAACATATACGACTAAGACAAGAGTTCTATTTTATCTGAAGAGCCCTCAATAAAGTTAGGGATCACTTTAGGTCATGCTTACTATAATAACAAAACCACATCCATGTAGGAAAGTCCAGTGGCAGAGAAGTTAGTAATTTTCGAGTAGCTAAGGGTGTGACTTGGCTTATGAATCCTACTGCAGTAATGCATTGCCCATTCCCCCTCTTACCCATTAGTCTTAATTTTTTTTTAATATAACTGCTAATTGACAAATAAAATGCAAGAGATAGAGAAGATAACGATGAACATGCATGTAAAATGAGATATATAAAGTACTAAAAACAAATGTTCCATTTCAATAAACAAGGGTAAAGCAATGACTTGTAAAAGGAAAGAAGACCTCAATTACTTACTTGAGGAATTGAAGAATGTCCTGACCAAGATGTTTTTGCAAATGCATCACAATATATGACAGAGATGTAAAAACCTGCATTTATAAGTAAAATTTGAAACTGTAATGCCATGTTCAAAAGGAACAGCATGATACTTCTAAGCAGCACAATAACACTTATTCAAAGGAAATAGGATGAAATAAAAATTTGTTGGGAAGAAAAGAATACACCTGTTCAATAACTTCAGGTTCTCTATCACCGCCAACTTGCAGGAGTCTTAAATATGACTCGATGATCCTTTGCAGAAAGCTGCCATAAGAACATGACGAATATGTTACAGGGATGTGCTAACAGATCAGATGAAAAAAACCATGCACCAACAAGAAGCTCATATCTGTGGGCCAGATTCAGTCATATGAGTAACAATTAATTCAGCTCTAATGGATGGTTCATGGGCTATCTTGAAGGCTCGAGTATGTAAGAGGAAGGACTAATCGTGGTTGAGAGTCTCATGTCTCAGTAGGAGAGTGAGATTCCAGTTTGACACTTGGTGCAAGGCCAGTTTTCAAAGATGGCAATAAAATAATCAGATAACCAGTGTGGGGGTGTCAGGTCCAGTCTGACACATGGTGAGGGAGGCCTTGTTACAATTCTAGTTCCTAAAGATTACAAGGTTGGCAAACAATCCAGGTGCTTTGGTCAGGGACCAGCTTGAGAGGACGGGAAGGACGGTAGTATAGTGTCGTTGCTTTAGGAAGAGAATTTGGCAAGCTAACAACCGTATGAGCTCCTAGACAGGTATTGAGCCTGTCTTTTTACCGTTTGGTGGCCGTGGCTCATATGAGATTTTCTTTCATTTGTCTCTTTGATAGAACTATTGACTAGTTCAGCATAGAGGTTCTTATCAGATAGATGTAAGTAATTTACTCCACGCAAGAACACGAAAGCGACAATCGAGATCCTGTTGTCCCAACGTAGGGCTACTCAAATAGCATGGAATGGATTTTTTAAGCATTTTTTGGGTCCCATTAGAGATGCTTAACTCCTTTCTATGCTTCTTGCAGATATCAGAAGGAATCCACAGGGCAATCTTTATGACAGTTAAGTTCGCCACCATACTAAGGAGTGGGAGCAGCAGAATCTGGGTTCTGAGAATAATATTCAATTCCCAATAATTCTTTACAAAAAATAAAACAATCACAATGTTTATACCTGGCAGTTCAAAGGGCCTACATAATTGACCAACCTTTCTTCTTCTAAAGCATGATATATTAAGTGCTAATCAATAATTAGCAATATTATAACAAAACCAAAGTTTCCCCTTAAGCAAGCAAAACAACTTACGGCACAAATTCCACTTGAAGATCTCTGGCCAAAACCGCAATCAACCTGCAGCAACATGATACATAAATAGCCAATGAGTTAGAAATATCACCCAAGAATATGACAAATGACAAATGATATCTGGTACAATAATTAACAGGAAATATTCTGGATACAACATTCTAAAGATTAATAATAATACACCAATTCCGATCTAAAACATGCACTAAACGATTTAGGAATAAAAATTTTCATCTGATAAATGCACTAGGCAAAACAAATGCTTCATACATTCAGTATTTTCAGAATAAACTAAGGCCAACAACTGCTGAAATAAAAATGTAACAGTGATTCGCACGTGAGATAAACGATTCATTGTCATAAAACAACATGCAGTGAATTTCCCATGCATCTTGAATCCTAATGATTATCAGTGTTATTACGAGGCATCCCTGAGTTATAGGTTGCATTTGTTTAGTGTCCAAGGGAAGAAAAACACATTGTTAACACAATGGCAATGACTCGGATCTCATTTTCATTTTTAAATTTTGCATTTTGGGCCAACTTCTTGAAGTTGATAATTTAGCACATGGGGTAAACAATGAACCCAATTAAAATTTTTAAAAGTTTGCCCAATAAAGTGAGCATTTGGAGCTACAAATAAATTGTAGAACTAATTTCTTCACAAATGCTCGACCAATCTACATCTCATTTATTTAGGCAGATTATATAGGATTGAGTCGTAAGTTTCATTGACTTGAACCGCATAAAAATAATAATATGTTTTATTGGCTCTCCAAAACATGTGATGCATACTAAAAGAATACGAAACATTTTCGCACCTGTTTTTTAGTAAAATCATCTCAAAATAGACAGTGATTCCAAAAGCTGTCCCAATATAATTGCCATGATAAAACTCACATAGAAATAATGTTAAAGTATGGCACCATATTTTTACTTTATTTTTATCTTTAATAAGTAAGCACCACGAAAAAGAAAAATACAATTACACCCGAAGAACTACAAACCTGAGGATAGGTTCAATGGATAATCTTGCTTGCAAGTGTAATCTGCAAATAAGTTTTGAGACAATAACCTCTTTTTGCAATAAAATTTGGGGCAGTGTTTGTACCAATGGCAGCATTTCCTCGTAAAATGTAATGAAGTCCTCAGCAGTGTTTAATTCCTGATTTTTTCAGACCCACCAATAAATATCTAGACAACGCAGATAAACAGCAAGGAAATGATATAATCCTGTGCATCGACTGTGTAACTATATACCACTAATTCATAAGATGGAAACTTTCACAAATTTCAAAAAAAAAAGTTCAATACATACTAATGATCCAAAATCATACCACGAATTCATAAGATATAAACTTTCACAAATTTTCAAAAAAAAAAAGTTCAATACATAGTCATGATCCAAAATCATAAATAATATTCTAAGATAATCACCCTCCAATAAAGAAGGCTTTCACAAAAGAACGATGAGGCTTGTGATGGCTCGGCCTTCAGAGGATCGAGACTGTGAAAAACATCTATTTCGATTTCTTCAATGCGCTCGGATAATTTCTTAAACTGCAAATAACCAACAAATAATCAAATTGTAGAACCACAAATGAATCCAAGAAAAACAAAATTACCTCGTTTATCTTATCGGTAAGCTTCAAAGGAAATCAATCACTAATAATGAATGGGAATATGAGAGAATGGGGTTGTTCATGACAGGGGTTTTAGAGAGTGACTGTTTGGGGTTTTAGGGAGGAAAATGGCCAATGTTCTAAAGCGAGCTAAGGGTTAGGGTTTTAGAGAGAGATTTGAGATGCATACCACAAAGCGCTTTGAACTGGGGCCTGTGTTGAGGGATTTGACAGGTTGATAGCGGGAAGCGGCCATGACTGAGCGCCTTCAAGCTAAAGCTTGTACTTAAAGAGTCGGCAGCAAGGAAGCGTGGATGTATAATGAAGGTAGAGGGAGGGAGGGAGAGAGATCACTGCCTGTGTTATTTCCGAGCAGTATCACTGCCTGTGTTATTTCCGAGCAGTAGAGAAAGAGCTCCCGCTCGCTCTTGGTTCTTAGAGGCCGAATTGGCCAATGGCTCGGTTTTATATGGAGAAAAGCAGCGTAGCCGACTCTGACGAAAGAATATTTTTTGTCATTGAGAAATTTTTATGACGCCCATTCGCGCTATTTTTCAAGTGAGGTAGGGCAAATACAATGAAACCGCTCTGCACATAGAGGGGTGGAGAGAAACTCATGGAAGCTATCGTAATTAGGGAAAGGACCTCTTACACCAGTTTAGAACATCAAAATATTATCATTTTTGACCCCTATCCCAATAAAAGTCAAATCTCTCCATAATTTATTTAGAGGTTTGTATCAAATTTAATGGTAATCTTTTAAAATCCTATACACATAGGTATCGAAGGGTCTCGTATGGTCATTATTCTCATAATTATTATATCTATTTTAAAAAAAATATGAAACCCAAAATTTATTTTTTATGCAACTTATCTCCAACTAACTTTTGCTCTCAACCTTTTTCAAAAAAACAAATATTTTATGCAAATATCCCATAAGGAAAAATTTTATTTTTCTAGATAAAAATGTCTTTCTCCTAGCACGTTGCCGGAGCACCCTTAAACATTGTCGGAGCCGGCAATATGTAAGAGTGGTCTGGCTATATAACACCACGCTCTGGCTATGCGCTCCGACAGTGCGTAAATGCGCTCCAGCACTACATAAGTGCGCTCCGACAGTGGAGCATTCTGAATCACAGGGCTTCGGCATTATTTAAGTGCACTCCGGCAATGTGATACGCGTTTTGGCACTGCGTAAGTGCGTCTGGCAATGTACCACAGCGCTCTGACACTGCGTATGTACGCTCCGGCAGTAGAACATTCCGAGTCACAAGGCTTCGGCACTATTTAAGTGCGATCCGACATTGTGCTACATGAAGGACATTTTCACTTAAAAAATGAACTTTTTCTTTTGGGGGTATTTGCATAAAAAGTTTACTTATTGGAAAAAAGTTGATAGCAAAAGTTAGCTGGAAAGTAAGTTGCATAAAAGGTATACTTTGGGGTTTTTTTTATAATTTTATTTAATACTTTTATATTGGTATGGCCTTTAATAGAGTTGAATGGTATATTATGATTCTTTTAATCGACTTCAATTAATTAGAAATTTGTTATGATGATAATGATATTATATCTTTATATTACTTCATACATTTTTTTCACATATTCCTCCTTTCCACAAATATTAATAAGGGATTGTCTACAAAATATAAATATACGATTTAGCTTTTGTACGTAGATGTCAAAATCATTCTCATTCATTATATGTCAATTTGGATGGCTTGGGGTGAGTTACCACGTTCGATATTTTTTTATTTTTAAAAAACTCTGTATCTATTCAATTACGCCTTTACAACCATCCATTTTGAAAATTAAGGGACAATAATTATTGTGACTTCCATGTAGAGTAGATAAATAGTCTATTTGTAGATAATCCAATATAGTAGATGAGGTTTATGCACAAACATCGTCTAATTTAGCATAAATAAAACGTAAACCTGCTGTGCCCAAACAATGTGATGGAGATCGTTCGCAGAATGAAAATAGTATCCCATTTCAAAATAACTCTCTTTTCACGCAGAATGAAAATAGTATCCCATTTCAAAATAACTCTCTTTTCACTCAGATCACCTCAACTCGACACCCAAATTTGTGCTAAGATTTTAAAAACCAATATTTGAAAAAACGGATCGGTGACCCAATCGTCCTTCTAGAAAATTGATTTGGATTGATGAATTGGCAATATCCAACCATAAAAAAATTTAAAACATGCTTTGTGAAACGAGCAATGCCTTTCGTTGAGGACCAACCGGTTGCCCTCGTGAAGAACTTCAAATGCGTTGAGAAAATTATAGATACTCCCTAAATTGGACTTCTGCCCCACCTCTGAGTGCTCAAAATACTTTTGGTGCCAAACTATTATCCTTAAAAATTTAAATTTTTGTATTTACTCTTTATACTTGATTAAAAAAGTTGACTTTCTGCATACCAAAACGCCCTTATTTTAAAAGTTTTTTACAATTAACATGTCCCTGCTAAGATGTGCTATAGATGAGTTTTGGTATCCCTTTTTTTTTTTTTTAACATTAAATCAAAAAAGAGATACAAAATACAATATATATATGAAATAAACAAGAAGAAGCCTTAGAAAAAATTGACAAGTAGAGAGGAGGAGTTTGCTCATCCTCTAGCTAAGGCAAACGGCCTCCTCATTCGCCTCACAATAGCAATGATGCAAGTCAACGTTGAAAGAATAAATGATGTTCCTAATCTCACGAAACAATACTCTAAGGCTCTATGAAAAATTGAATTCTTCATGACTCAAAGCTAACATTTGCCGAATCTCTTTCAATAATCTTATGCCCTTCTCTATCTCTAATTTGAGCTTACAATAGACATATCATTGCGAATATGTCATATAATTTAGTTTTGACATCTATCTCTCCGTTTAACGTCTAGAAAAGTTACCCTTCATAAAACTATTTGGGACTGAAGTGTATGTAAATCCTTCTTTTGCATATCTAGGTTATAATGGCTCAATGTCCTTTGGGTGTGTGTTTTTTGAGATCTATATATTGCATATCTACATCATCAAAACCTCTTGCTCAACCTTAGAATGAACAAATGCAAGGTTTTGAAAAATCTAGCTTTTTTCTGTCTAACTCATCATAATAATAAATAATAATATTATTCCACAGTTATAATATTTTATACTTAATATTTATTGTTATTATTGTTGTTGTTTTTATCACTACTATTTCTTCTACTGTTGTTATATTATTATTATTTAACATAATTATTATTAAAATAGTAATAATTTAATAAATATATTGTATTACGGTATTTTGTTATTATTTGAATATATTAAAGACCCGGTTTTTATGAGTCCACACGACACATACTATTCTCATGCAGGCTCTTTCTAACACCTATTTTTGGCATAGATCATTGATAAAAAAATGTAGATATCCACAGTGATGATCACAAATATTAAAAACAAAATAAGATAAAATAAAAATTTAAAATATTTTTTTTATTTTATCATATCTATTTGATAGGAATCTTTAATTATGGAGGTTCATCTTAAAGATACGTTTGTGAGTCAATGGGATAGTGAGTACGCCGACTCACAAAATACTATTTCATATATTAATATATTATATTATACTACTATTAAAATATTTGCATTTTATTATAATATTTTAAATATTATAATATTACATCGTTACTAATGAAAGATAGCATATTACTATATAATTCTCAAAATTTTGAAATTATTAATTAGGATATTTATATGAATTATTATTTATTATAAAATATCATCAACATTATAAATATTAGTACTATTATATTACAGTAATAATATGGATTCTATACTATGAGATCATTTATTTTTTATACAAAGAAGTCACACACTTTTAGATATTGAATGTGAAATATAATAGATGAAAATGTGTTACAACATTGAAGAAAACATTTTTTTTTTGGACATTGTGCTCAAGCAACGGCACATCCTCAACCACCCGATTACAAATCTAACGGTCAATGGTGATTGTGACCTCCATATATAAAAAATAAATGGTCTAATACTATAACAATACATTAATACTATTATAGTATTAAATAATTATATTAATATATAATTATATTATTATTATTATTATATATGAGATATCGATAACATCATTAATATTAGTATTATAATATTTTAATATAATAATATTATATTGGCAAAACCTTTTATACTTGGATAGGCGCTGACATGCTAATTGTCGCTGACATGTTAACTGTAGAGAAAATTCGCCCATCATTAAGAAAAAATAAATACGTTGTAGGAAAAAATTATTGCACCTCCTTTCCCCCAACTTCCTGCACACATATTCTCTTAATATTTTTCTATTCACATTTTAAATCCTATTATTAATATTATCGTTTGAACATATAGACCTTATAATTGTTTTGTATTGTACTTTTCTTTTACAATGGCGCGCCTTGGGTGAAATGTTTAGGTCATTTTGATGAAAATACTCCTTTCAATTAAATACAAAAAATGGCCTCAGCTCCAAGAACTTTCGTCAAGGCCGAGACAACCTTAAACATAATTTTTATTTTTTTTATCTGGCTAAGAGAGGCATTTTTATTCAAAATGACCTAAAACTTTATCCTGATGGGTCAATGCAAGTATATGGTAATAGGGTTTATTGGTGAAAAATTAAAACGTGGAAGGTTTATATAAGCTCAAACGAGAGGGAGAGGGAAGCTCAAATCGGGTTTTAAAAATTTTCAATTTGATCCGAGTCTAAGACTAGTCCAATTCCCAACATATATTAAGAATCGGCCAATCCTGCACCAACTTTTATTTTTATTATTTATTATTTATTTTTATTGGCTGATTCACTCGAAGCTTTCGCGGATCTGTCGGCCCAGACCGATTTTTTAAGAAGGCAAATTTGGTTCATCAATTCGTTTTTCATAAACACTGTCAAATTTGCTTATTCGTTGTAAAACGTTATAAGGAACAAAAGTTAACCCTAGGTTAAAGTTAATTAAAACGCTGGAGCTGGGCCCCTGCACACCAAACGCCATCTACGTACGGTTCACGCATTGGCCGCTACGGAGGGTGGGACTGCGGAGAGGCCGACCAAAGACCAAATTCTATAAATACCCCTCAACAAACCCGCCCTTCAAATCTTCCTCATTCTCTCTCGCCCTCTCTCATGCGATTCAAAAATAAAAAACTTCAACCATATGCCATGGATAGCAATTCAAGCTTTTTTAAGTTCCTTTCCCTTCCTCCTTACTCACCAGAAACCCTTTTTTGCGAGCCAGAGCAGCCTCTCTGTAACTCTAGGGCCGGGTGTTACCCTGCATTGTCTCAAATGAACCAGTTTCAGGGCCATTTAATGGTAAACAGGCCAGTGGAAATGCAGGAGCAACGGTTCTATTGCTTGGGGCCTGGTTTTGGTTTTCTGAAGTCGTGCTTCGCTTGCAAGAAAATGCTTTCTTGTGATAAGGATATCTACATGTACAGGTGCTTTCCGGCAAAAATGGTTTGTTTTTTCGTTTTTTTTTGTACATTTGGTTAAAGCAAGCTGGGTTTAGGATCCCGCATTGAAATCTGGTTCTCGTCTTTGCCAAATGATTTAAGATTTTATGGATTTTACTTATGTTGCTCGATTTTTACTGTTTTGTGTTATTCGTTTATTCAGAAATTTGGCAGTGCCAAGAAGTGAAGCCTCAAATGGGTTAAAAATTTAGAAATGCTCTGATAGCAGTGCAAGCCCCCGCCTTCCTTTTTTTTAACACAAGAGATAGCTGTAAAGTTTGCAGCTCTACCCTAAAAAATAGGAGGCAGGGGTTATTTCTGGATTCTTATTTCCTTAACATCAGTTCCATGATTAATAAACGTTTCATTCTGCTTGGGCTTCTGATTATTGGGTTTTACTACTTCTGATCATTGGGGTTTAAATGATTTCCAGCAATTTACTTCTATGTTATTCTCTGGTGTTTAAAATCCACTACTGTAAGTAAGTTATGGCAATTATGGTTGTGCCCTGTGGCCTTGACTGTAATAGGTTGGAATTTGGATTGAATATTCTTCTATAATATATGGGAATGGAGTAGACTGATTGTAACTCCTCATTATTTGTTGCAATGCCTTGAACATTCTACTCTTTTCATGAAATAGGCAGGCACCCCCTTATCTACTGATATAGATGTTTCACCAATGATTCCTGCATTGGTCATTTATATACGTGAAACTCTTTCTTTTTCCCTAGTTGAATGTTTATAGTTTTGCAAATCAAGTTCAAAATATTTGCATAGTGGTCTTGGTAATAAGGGCAGTTTGGGCCTATCGAAATGTACTGGGATCCCTTACATTTTTCTTTTGATAGCATAGCAGATGATTTTCTTTGGAATATTCTGTCATTTCAACTAGAAAGGGCAATATTTGCTTAACCATTGCAACACCATATTTGGATTTCGTTTGAAAAGTTGACTCTGGGATTTATTTTTTACATAATTTGTTATCTAGAAAGCCTCGTATTCATTTAATGTCAACCGGTTTTTGTTTTGGGAGGATTAAGGACTTGAGATGCAATGCCCAGTGTTCATGTTAAGAAAGAGGAGGAAACTATGAAACCAATATAAAAATATGAACAGTGGAAAAATCAAATAAGAAAATACATGGAAAATGAGATGCTACTCTATGCTACTATATAATTAACTCACTGATGTTTTGTTTCATAATTTCTGCATCTCAGTCCTTGACATGATATACTGAGGAAGAATTAACGATTTCATGACAATTATGATGTTGAATTTAGAGTTTGTGAATATGTAACGCATTAGTCTCTACCTGTGTCTCCCATTCTGTGATCCAATACTAGTCAATGAAATGTAGTTTATAATAAAGCTGGTTTGTTACTAATCCTGTTTAAGATTCAATACAACTGTTTTAAATTCTACCAACACTTGTCTGTAGATTATAGCCCTGGCATTGCATATTATGACATAAATGGAAAATAAACTAGTAATATAATTTTTTTTTAATAAGTTTTTGTTTTTTTTTTAACTAGTAATATAAGTTTAGTTATGTAAACTTATATTTTACAACTTTTATGAGTTCTATTATTTATCTTTATCCATTTTCCTTAAAAATAGGTTATTTAATAATCGCATAAAATTTATTTTTTTATAATTTTTATGGGTTTTATTAACAGCACTTATTTTTGTTCTTATAAAAAATTAACTTATATAACAATAGAATATACAAGCAGAATTATAAAGTACAAAAAATGCCTACATATGCCGGAAGGGGAAATCTATGTTGGATATGGGAAAAATGGATAGCCATCGTAGATAGCCAGGTTACCGTGTTGGGTCTCTATCCCAATCTCAAGGTGCTATGAGGATCTAGTGGGGGTTTTCTACTACCTAAATGGCTCCCTATGCGGAGTTCTATGTGATTACTCCTCAATTTATTAATTTAAAGTTCAAATGGACACTTTCAAGCTTGTACAATATTAGTTCTTACAAATTATAGAATACAGTCTACATGGCTCTATATGCAAGGTTCTACATGATGGTTCCTCAATTCATCCATTCAAAGTTTAAATGCACACTTTCAAGCTTATGCAATATTAGTTCTTACCATTATAGAATGTGGTCTATAAAGTGAGGCTTCATGAAAGCCAATTGGTGGTCAACCACCATTCAGGATTTAGGAACTATGTGGTTTTTCCATGAGGGGGATGAGGATACCTGTAGACATGATTATTATTGTTATCGATGAATAGGTATATGTTGTAAATATATCATAGTCATTGTAGTTTAGGGGTCTCTGCAATTAAAGGAGAGTTGATGGGTAATGAGAGAAGTTAAGAGCAGGGGAAATCTACAAAGTGAAGGATGGCTAGTATGGAAACTTTTGTACATATATGTGTAGTTCTAACATAACATTGTCCGTCATAATATTTGCAAGTTTCACTAGCTCCATGATTCCATAGTAATCATTCAGTCTCCTTGTAGGATCTCATGTAAACTTGATTTTGTCATACTATGATGATAGTTAAATCAATTTAGGGATCTCCAACAGGAAGCGAAGTTTTTATCTTAGGGTTGATGCATGAGAATTTCTAGATGACCCATAGAATGAGTCTTTTGGTATGAAGGGAAATCAATCATTGCTTAAGTGACATAAGAAATAATTCCATAGAAACTCCTATTGGTCTGAAGACAATGCCCTAAGCGATTTTTATGTCCCAATATGACCATGATATTCTGGTTTGCATATTGAATGCAATTCATGATCTAGTACGGATGATATCCTGCTTTGCTCATGGAAGTAGTAGAGAGAGGCAAAGTATTTGGCCCCCCTAGACTTGTAGATATTCCCTCGTTTTCTCTTGAGAGTGAATTTGTCAAAGATGGATAGAAAGTAAAAAAACACAAATTGCTTTTGGCCACTCTGAATATAATTGAGTGAATGGGCTGATATTATAACATATTTTAGGCTGAGAAACTGAGAAAATTCTTTATGGATGTGATTGATCAAGACAAGGGCTTTAGCAATGATTGAAAAAATTCAGAGACTCGGAGTGGGAATCAGCTGAGTGTCAAGGAACTGTTCCGGAGGGTCCTCACTCAGTTGAGTCCAGGGATCATGGCCAAGACCTGGCTAGTTCACTATAGTGAACGAAAAGTTTTTTTTGATAGATACAGCTGACTCTTGAGTCTTTGTTGAGTCGACCAGGACTCCCTGAGTCCAATTATTTTCTTATGTTTCTATCTTTTTTGACCTAATTTTCTTATGTTTCTATCTGCTGAAAGAAATGGTATATGTTTGATTCAGGGGCAATTTATGGGTATTTCAGCCCCAAATTTTAGCCCTGGATTTGTTTTTTCCTGCCCTATTAGATTCATAAACAATTTTGAGAAAGAACGATTGATTTTTCACAATTAAAAAAAAATTATGATTTCCGAGTTTTGGGTTAGAAAGAGCTTCAGCAATTTAGAATTTAATTGATTTGAAGCCTTACGTCATAACGTTTTTGGGGGCTTGATTGTGGAGGGTCTATACACAATTGGTATTTGTTTTCATATTCTCTTTTAATTAGAGTTGATTTTCTCAATCTAGAACTCTGAAGTTTTCTTCATCTTCAAAATAATCCAAATATGCATCGACTTAGGGTTCATTTCAACTAGATCTAGTTTTATCTGGCGATATATAGTTAGAATCTGTAATTTGTTCCGATTTTGAATTTTATTTTTGAAAAATATATAGATCCTTTGTAGAGGTGTGGAAAATGTAATTTTTTATTTTAGAATGGACTACATTTGTAAATATAAATTTTTGTTTCATAATTAGTCTCCCCAAATTATTCTTGATTCATCACAAATTATTTATATTTTCAGGATTTCTCCTGTGATTTTTCAGTTTTCTCGTCATTGTATTCAATATTTTTATATTTTCCCTCTTTTTTAGCCATGAATGTACTTTGTGGTATCTCTTTAGTTTGTCTTGCACTGTTTGATGGTTTTAGGGGCATAAATCCCTACCAAGCACGCCCAGTTTGGGTCGAAACAATGTCTTGTTTTCTCACTTCATTTTGTGGGTATCAAAATGCTTTCTTGTAAATTTTTTTTGCAGCATTTAACATTTCCTTATCAAAAAATATGAACAAGCTATTTTTTTAGGAAAGATAGTGTTATATGGGTGTGTAGGGTTAAGGTACATCCAAATATGAAAGATAGTGTTAGATGCATTTTTTGTGAGAGTGTATAACCAACCTTAAACATCACGTAATGTGGGTGTGAGGTGATGTGGTGCCATAGAGTGTAAGTGAACATACTTTGGCAGCTATAACAACTAATAATAAGAAAAAGGTTGTAAAAAAGATATTGATTTAGGAGATTGGTAACCAATTCTACCAAGCTAGTCAAGAGGAAGGGTGGGGGAGAAGAAGCTTAGTTTGAGACCCAACTCAAAACTTGCAAGGGAAGGAAAGTTTAAAGGACATATGATGCAAAATAAATTGGGGTTTTTTAATTTTTAATTTTTTAATTTTAGAAAAGGTGTTATTTAAGTAATAATTTGCTTTGGGGTTGTTATTGTCTTCTTTAGTGGTAGATATTTAAAGGGTAGAATAGTAAATTCTCTATGGGAGTTGGTTAGAATAGATTTTTATGAGGATATAGTTTCTATTTTTGTGGGAGCTGAATCTTAATGGGTTGATAAGCATCATGAAAGGAAAAAGAAAGAAAGAGATAAGGGAGAATTAGAAAAGAAATTAAACTTTTTTTTTACGAGATATGAATTTGTAGAGAGATAAGGGTGGGTTGTAAAGGTGGAATGGAGAATAGAGAGAGAAATAAAGTTATTTTTGTTTATGGATTTTATTTATTTATTGATTTTTTCAACTAAATGTATTTAAAGGGAAGATGTCCCTTCTTTGTAAACAGATAGAAGTGATTTGGGTTGGTGATTCAGTAAAGAATTTGGGTCTTGTGAAAAGATCCTGGGGTGGA